GAAGAAGAGAAGACGCCGCCGCTCCCTTCTCCCTCCCCAACTAGGCGACCCTGAAGGGCGACGCCGTCACCAGCCACTCCTTTGCTGTCGAGAGTTCCGCCGGCTCCGCATAACTCCATTGCTCGCGGCCAGAGCAACCGCCATCCAACTCGCAGCTAGCAACCGTCATCCAACCCGCCGGCGCCGCGCCACTCCTCTGCTCGCACCCTGCACCCCGCCATTGAAGAATTATGTAAGTGTTTGTAATTTGTAAAAGTATATGATTTGTTTGAATGAGATAAGTGCTCATCATAATTGTGAATCCCATGTTTTGGTATATAGAGGGACGAAGGGAGGAAGAGAGTTAGGAGGAGGAAGGGGAAGGAGAGTGAGGGAGCGCCATTGTTGTTGACTTGTTGAGGTTTCTGTTTCTGGGTTTTGAGAGAGAATAAGCAGTGGGTGGTTAATTGGTCGTTGGGAAGAATGAGAGGATGGGGAAATTGAGATTGGATTGTGGAAGTTGGGAAGTTGTAATTTGGGAGGGTTTGGGAATTTATACTACTTGGAATTGAGATCGAGAGCACAATTCAGTAGCTAGGAATTGTAATTTCAATTCAAACTCTTTCTGCTAATGATAAGACTTCTTTTCTTTGTCAGTTCTTTGTTTCAAATAATGTTGTACAGGTCTTTTCTGCTGCCTTTTCACTGCTCTTTGGCTCTCAATTTGTGACTTTGTGTAATTGTTTTTGTAGGGTGAGACCTCCGGCTCCTCGTGGTGGACGTGGCGGACGAGGTGTCCCTACTGCTGCTACTGCTCCTCGTGGTGGGAGACCTCCAGCGATTCGAGGTCGTGGTGGTGCGAGTGCTCCTGTTCAGACCCGAGGTCGTGGTGGGCATACAGGAAGTCGACTTGTTCAACCACCTGAAGCTGAACCATCTTCATCAACTCTATCGATTCCCGCCCCTGTCGATAGTGGAAGTACACTTGCCGGTACACCTGCCGAGACTCCTTATGTTGACACGGGTGTTCCTGATTCAGAGACAGCTACAGGAGACATTTTTTACTGTGAGAAATGGTTGAAGACGGTGGGTAAAGCTTCTTGTTGGAAGGTGTTTAAGAAGTTGATAGTTGACAGCTACCCGATGGGAGAGTGCATACACTGTCATACTCTAATCAAAGCTCATCCTCACAAAAATGGGACCACTGCAATGAATAACCACATGCACTCCTGTTTGGCTAAGTTGGCAACAAATAAAAATCAGACAGTATTGCAGACATCGGAAGGTGGTCAAGTAAGTGGTTTATGGAAGTTTGATCAGGGAAAAGCTAGATATGCATTAGCCAGTATGATCATTATGGATGAATTGTCATTTCGCTTTGTGGAGAGGGAAGGGTTTAAGCAATTCATGTCTTCTATTCAGACACTGATTAGGATACCCGGGAGGAAAGCTATAAGAGATGACTGCTTTAATATCTTTTTGGATAAAAAGATGGATTTAATTGAATTTTTTGAATCAAGGAGCCAAGGAAGAGTTTCAATCACTACGGATACATGGACTTCTGATAACAACAAGAATTACATGTGTGTTACTGCTCCCTTTGTTGGAGGTGATTGGAAGTTGCAGAAGAAGGTGATAGCCTTTGTTCCCATCACAAGTCATACTAGAGTTGATATTGTAGAGAAGCTTGCAGAAGTTCTTAAAGAGTGGAACGTGAAGAATCTGTTTTGCATGACCATGGACAATGCAACTTCAAATGATTTTGTTAGTGAGTGCATGATAACGAAGCTAAAGGAGTGGGGGTGTGATTTGATGGATGGGAGGTTTCTATAGTTTCGATGTGTTGCACACATCATTAATCTGGTGGTACAAGATGGACTGAAAGTGGTTGGTGGTGCTGTGGACAGAGTTCGAGATTGTGTGAAGTGGGTGAGGTCTTCACCAACTAGGTTGTTACGATTCAAGAATGACATGGAATTTCTGCATGTGGAGTCAACCAAACTGGTGTCTTTGGATGTACCGACCAGGTGGAACTCCACTTATACCATGTTAGAGTCAGCAGAAAGTTTTGAGACAGTGTTTACAACTTTGTATTCAAGTCCACACGATCATTCTCTTAGAGATTATCTGGACTCAAGAGGTGGGCTTCCAACTAATCAAGATTGGCAGATGATTAGGAAGTTGAGAGACTATCTGAAAGTCTTCAATGACTTGACCCTTCTAGTCTCTGGTAAGTGAAATTCCTGAACTGCATAGTTTTATATAAAAATTTTAACAATTTTCCCATTTCTATTTGTGTTATTCTAATCTTCTGGTGGTACCTTCTCATTGTACAGGAACTAAATATGTGACTATGCATATCTTTTTCAAGAAGCTTGTTACGGTATATGACATCATTGAGAAATTGAAGAATGATCCGCTTGAAGAGATCCAAAAGATGGCTGAGAAGGTTGAGGAAAAGGTACAAAAGTATTGGTTTGAATCATGTGTTGTGAACGAGAAGAACATGAAGGTGAACCACTTAATTTATATAGCATGTGTGCTTGATCCAAGAAGTAAACTTGATTTGGTGTTCGAGGTTTTGGCAATGATGTATGGGAATGTGAAGGGAGGAGAAATGGTTGACTGCATTAGGAAGGAAATGCGACAGCTATTTGAGGTTTACAAAGGGAAGTATGGATCAAAAGCACCCTCCTCTGCATCTGAGCCTACCACTGGTTAGAGCACGGCTGGTGGTGATAGGATTAAGCAGCTAGAGGAGAGGATTATGAAGAGGAAAAGGGAAGCACTTCTGCAGGATACAGGAGGTAGCTCTGCTGAGCTTGACATCTATTTAAGATGTCAAACTGATGGCATCAATGAAGAGAGTGATGATGCAAAGTTTGACATCTTGAGTTGGTGGTCTCGACACTCTAGAACATATCCGATTCTTGCTGAGATTGCTAAGGATATCCTTGATGTTCCCATCTCTTCTGTTGCCTCAGAGGCAACCTTCAGCTGTGGCGGTCGGATTCTCAGTCCATTCAGGTCTTCTTTGAGTGATATCATGTTGGAGGCATTGATTTGTGCGGAGGATTGGATAAAGTATCAAGATGTCGGGGCTGGAGATAATGACGATAGGGAAGAAGATGAAGAGATCATGGATTTGGAAAGCTGTAAGTTCTAAAACTCTTTTAATTATTGTTTGTTGAAGTAAACAAATACTATTTCTTTCTACCTAATTCAATGTATGAATATTCTAACAATTTGTTTTCCTTTTTCTTACTCAGTTAATACCACTTTCCAGTCTAGAATGGAAAGTGCAAGAAGTGATGTTGGCAATGTTGCCAATGCAGATGCAAGTCAGAACATTCCATATGGGAATGAGAAGTAGGGTGAAGAAAATGTGCCGGAGGAAGAGTATGAGAAAGATGGTTATGAGGATGTTGGTCATCACCTCTTGCCGCAACGGAAAGAAAAGGGTTATGTAGATGTTGGTTATTCTTCGGTTAATAAGTGATGAATTGGTGGTGACTTGTAATTTGTGACTTTATGAAGTTTATGACTTTATGTTCTAGTATTTGAGACATTAATTTGGTGATTTAAATCTATTTTGTATGCAAAAATGATTGAAACTTGACTTGTGGAGTGATTTAGATGTAGAAATGTAAGGCTGAACGTTTAATTTTAGGCAATTTCTATCGATCTTGTTTGCACAAGGGTTCTGTCAGGTTCGGTTAGTCGGTTACAACCGATTGCCAGTGTATGCCGCGGTTACTTCGGTTAACCGAACAACTAACCGGTAATCACCGGTCGGTTGTCGGTTAACCGAAGGTTTCCTTCGGTGCGGTTGGCGGTAGTCACGTCTAGTGCCTCGGTTAACCGGTAACCGACATTTCGATTATCGTTTATAACCAAACTAACCGAAATGCCCGCCCTACAAAAACCTATAGCACCAATGCTATATAGCATTGTAAAATTTCTCACCAATATGTGTTCTTTTTTCACCAGCCAACAATGAGAATGGCATCTCACTCGGTTTGTAGTCTTCATGCTGGTTAAGCGCCTTAGTGATAAAGGAGTTAATAATGGCCCAAAGTTTGGATGCTGATAGAATCATGAATATAATCTATTCACTCTCTTGAAGAAATTTAGGCGCTGCCAATCCATTGAAGTAGCTAATTTCTTAAAAATTTCATAATGACCCAAAGTTTAGATGATAATAAAATTATGAATATAATTCACCAATCCAATTTACACAGGAGCAAAACCATAGACTTTTACGATTGTTTCGGGACATCACTACAATTTGAGGAAAAATTACCAATCTCTTAGTAGTAGTTTTGACTTTGAAAAAAGGTGGTAGTTAAACTAATTTTAACACATAATCTTGTAATTATTAAACAATGTAAAATCCATTACACTAAAAACAATCTTTTGGTGTATTAAAGATGTTGAATTTATTTATAAATTGAGAAAAAGATCTCAATTTTCCAATTTTCATCCAAACCCTAAAAATAAAATTGCCCACCCCATTTTATCATTATATCGAACCAAGAAACAAAACATCAAGATAATTAATTCCATCTTCTTCATTCTAACATGCGATGTGTTTATGAGCTATTGTCTTGTATGATATATTAAGTTTATTTTACAAAACTTTTACAAAATAATAACATATGATATTTTTTTTCTTTAACTTATAACAGTCGGATACTTTCTTATAAAAATCATATTTTTTTAAAATTATTATTTTAGTTTAAGTTTTAGAAGATCACACACCTAGATAAATATTTTGGATCCGTCGCTAAATCCATAAATTCACCGGTATAAAAAAAAATTAAGCACATGATTGGTACTCATTAGGCATTGATTGCATCATCTTTTCGAATCCATCAATCTTATTCATCAATTCAATTCATATGTTACCCTAATCTCGATGATCAACTTTTTCTCCTCTCAAGTAATCGGGAACTTGGGATAGATCGAGTTTAGCAGCTGCTAAAAGAACAACTAAGCTCTGGGATTTCATTATCTTAAGCAAATCAACTCTGGCTTGATTGGAGACATGACTCGTGTACGTACGTGCACCAGATCGGCCGCAGAAAACGGAACACAACCAATACTGCTGATAATTAATGTTCTAAAACAAGACAGAAGCTAATATGGCCCTTTCCAGACAACGACACAAAGCAACTTAAACTTGGTTTTTCTTTTTCTTGTTCACTTCCTCCCCAAAACAAAACAGCGATACTTAATTGCTTGAAACCAGAAACCAATTGGGGCGGTTTTCTTCACGAAAGACTCCAAACTAATAATCAAGAAACAGACCAGGACCAACAGCATTCAAGAGGGAAAGCTTGCAGCAATTAAAACAACAACAAGTACTCCTACGTTACATAGGAAAAGAAGAAGAAGAAGAAAAAAAAAGGACCCTGGAAGAAAGGCTTGGCCTTCCCTTTGCCTCTGTGACTTGCCTTTTCATCGTCGTCGTCTTGCAGCCTCTCTAGCTAGGAAGACTGCATTTTCTTCTTCTTCTTCTTCTTCATGGCAAAGCAGAGAAAGCAAGTGGATGCCGAGATATGGATGGAGGGTTTGACAGCCACAGAGCTGTTGTATATATTGACCATCGAGATCGAGAATAAACACAAGTAGCCTAGCTCCCACATTAGATAATTGACTCTTTTATTAATCATTAGTTTAGGGTGGGGTGAGGAATTTACACGTATAGCAAAGCCAAAAGAAAAAACAGAACAAATCAGCAAAGGGCGCTGAAAGTAGACGCATGACACAACCTCCAATGATATTGAAAAAAGATGGTTCGGTCCTTCACCAATTATTCTCCTCTTTACACCTTTACTACTTGTGGACAGGTGTCATTCACGATGCTTATCCTCCCTCTCAATATTAAACTCAAAACACAAACCTTTACCTGTTTCCTTAGTTAAATGTGAATTTGGAAAAGTCTACAACTTAGTGGGTGCATACCAATTACCACGCATTGATGCTCTTTGTATATGAAACGAGATCTTTTTTTGTTTGTGATTAAATAGGAATACATGCCGCGTGGCCATCTTAAGAAGACAAAAAAGTAGCCTTAATTTTTTTCGATTTGTAAAGATTCTTAATTCTGATTATTATTGCTAAGGCTTCCTTTACTGATTACGTCGGTTTAGAAAATGGTATGGTTCGATCGGATGATACAACCGATTTGTAACGATAAATGCCGGTTTAATAAAGTATGAAAAATATGGATAACCATTAACTTCAAATGAATGTATACAAATGAATATATATATATATATATATATATATATATATATATATATATATATATATATATATATATATATATGGTGACTACTTCGGTGCAATCACAAAAATGAGTGCGTTCAATGCACCCAACTCAAAAACTAGTCTTAAGGTGTCGGATTTTGAATTTTAATTTGTAGAATTAGTGTAATATGATGATATAACATATGATAACAACTAATTAGCGGATTACCCTAAGCCATAGACCTCCAATTTTGAGTTTTTATCTCTAAACCCCAAACTGTAAACCCTAACCCTAAATCTCTAAACTCTAAATCCTTCAAATTAAAGTAAATTTTTAATGGTTTTTATGCAAATTCATGTGTTATTGTACATCACATCATAAGTGACGATTGCATTATTTTGACATAAATCACATGTTTAAAATGACGGTTATGAAGCGAGTGCACTGAATGCACCCAAAAAAGTGAGTGCACTGAAAATGCCACCATATAGATATATGGGTTACACTCGTATGAGTTACACTCGTCTGCTCCTGACACATAGCATGCGCCAGATTATCTACACCGTTGATCTAATCTAACGCGCATGATTATTTCTAATGAAATTAATTATTAATTGTCAATAATAATTACTTACTACATCCATTATGCGTAGAATGTAGTCCTCTAACAATTTTTCTTATTACTTTTTGTTTTAAACTACCTTGTTTCTTCCATATATAGATTTACCTACCTAAATTTTGTATGTTTGATTGTTTTTATTCATCTAAATTTGTTTATGTATTTCTTTCTCACCTAGTTTCCTATAGATAATCTTTCTCCAAATTAAAGGACAATCCCTTATGGAGGTCTGGTACGCCTTTTTTTCCTTCCCGAAGTCATTTGTGGCCATTTGAACAGCCAGGTCATCGTCATTTTAACGAACCCTAAACCATTCTCACAGATCACCATCATCAAAACCCTCCTACAGTGGCCCCATCACCGATAAGTTGATTTCCTCCGTCTTCCATCTTTCCCTTATGGGCAAGAACTCGATGATTTCTGTTCTTTTTTATGCTCGCGGCTGAATGGAGTGACTGAAAATCACCAAATTGAAAGCTCGAGCAAGAGTTAATCCAGGCGCTGAGGCCTCAGGGCCCGGTAGTTCCGATGCATGTGGTTTTGAGACTGAGGTACGCTGGCTTGATGGCGACCCGCAAGCTATTGGGCTCTCCGTCGATGACGAGCGCATCACAATCGATTTTGCCAACAATTATAAACTCTTTCCAATTCCTTATCCCATGAACGAGATCTCGATTCGACAAATTTCCCTCGGTCCTTCAAGCTCGCTCAGAAAACAAAACAACCATATCGACTTTTTCACTCCGGATACGGCGGTGGATCGTCGTCAATTAAGTTGATCGACGATGGGCCGACAGGTTGGGAAGGGTTCTGATGATGCCATGATGGTGAAATTGGGGGGAAATATTTACGGCTTGATGATGATTAGAATTGAAAAGGATTTTCTGGTTTGCTGATGATGATGTTGTTAAAATGTGTAAGGGAGAAAAAAGGATTCAATGGATTGGATATTCATACAAATTGTCGCCTTCTGCACCTTTTTATTTGGAATTCTATAATGAAAGAGAAACTAAAGAAGAACAAACTGGCGTTTGGTAATGGAATACATTTTGATGGCTGTTGTTTTTCTTTAATTATACAAATTTTGGGGGCTTGAAATATCACTAAATGAAATTACGTATTGCTAGTGACAAATATTGTTGGAGGACACTATCACATGTATAATTATTTAAGGGGGCAAGTAGTAATTATTATTATTATTATTATTTATAATGACCGTTAGATTATATCAATGATGTAAAGGTATGGTGCATCGTATGTGTCAGGAGCATACGAGTCGTATCCATTTATGTATATGGTGACTACTTCGGTGCACTCACAAAAATGAGTGCGTTCAACGTACCCAACTCAAAAACTAGTTTTAAGGTGCTGGATTTTGAATTTTAATTTGTAGAATTAGTGTAATATGATGATATAACACATGATAACAACTAATTAGCCGATTACCCTAAGCACAAGACCTCTAATTTTGAGTTCTATCCCTAAACTCCAAATTTTAAACCCTAACCCTAAATCTCTATACTATAAATCCTTCAAATTAAAGTAAATCTTTAATGATTTTTGTGCAAATTCATGTGCGTTATTGTTCATCACATCATATGTGATGATTGACCTTATTTTGACATAATTCGCATTTTAAAATGACGGTTATGAAACGAGTGCACTGAATGTACCAAAAAAAGTGAGTGCACCGAACGGTTACTTACAATATTTATATATATATGGGTGAATTTCAAGTTTGGTCACTGAGATTACTAATTTATTGCATGTTTGTCACTCAGAAAAATTTTCCTTTCTTATTGGTCAGTGACATTACACTTTTGTTTCACCAATGGTCACTCGCCGTCCATCTTCCTTAAATTTGTCCTAGGTGGCGGTCAACTCTGATCTTTGACATTAATAGCATTTTATATCCCTTTACTATTGAAAATTAACAAACATATCCTTCTATTGTTAATTTGCACAAACATATCCTTTCTCGATCATTATCAAACTTACTGCAATCTTTTTCTATCCGTGAGGATCCCACCAGAGCGCCTTCTAGTTCTAATAGGCCATGAACTAGATCAGAATCATTCTCAACAAGCTCATAATAAGTGATCCCATTTTTTTCATTGGGTCTGGGTAGAGACCAAAGGTCTTGAGCAACCGATCCGACAAAACAACTCAAAAGGTAAAGCAGTATCATAATTTCTTCATCACAATTTCTTCATACTCGTTCCAAGTTCGAAGTAGCATTTGTACAAATAAGAATAGTAACAACGTGCACTTCTGTCAACTGACCGTTTAACAAGTTAAAATGGCCAGATTACCCATGTTTATTAGTTTAGTTTTTCTAGCCAAAATTAAAAAAAAAAAAAAAGCAAGCTTAGATTATTTAACTACCTGTATAATTCTTTTCTTATTATCCCTTCCATCTCAACGACGGCAACGGCAACTCCCCCTTTTGAATCCCTAATTCTTGTGAACCCAGAAATAGCTTCAATTGCTTCCATTCTTGGCCTTACAAGCAGATACAAAACTCCCAATGCTTTTCTTGCCTCTCCATTTACAAACCCAGAAATTTCAACAGGCGATCTTGGATGTGCTCCGCTTGCTTCAATTGGCTCAGGATTTGGGTCCTGTTTCCTGGCAGCCTAATGAGATTTGAATCGGGATTTTTCTGATGTGGGCTTTGATTAAATGCCTTGGAAATAAGGATGGAAGCCACACTAGCGTACTCGCCGGCCAATGCAATTTTCCGGCAGTGACCTTTATTACTGATTAAGAGGCTTTATGCCGCAAACTGAGAGTTATCTGACACAAACGAGCTACGGGATGGGATACGGTGACAACCCCTAAGGGGGTTGTCAGATTCACAACCCACTTCATAGCCCTTGGATACGCTCTCTCTCCTGTTTCTTTCTTCTTTTTTTAAATTAACGGTTAAGATTAAAGGAAGGATATTTTTGGAAGAATAAAAACTTACCACACCCAATCATTCACCCTACCATATAAAAAGAACAAAAACCCTAACTCCTCCATCCTCCCTCTCTCCCGTAGACATTACCGTCTCTCCTCCCCACTCTCCGCCGCCACAACCCTCCCACCACCGCAGTTCCTTCCTTTCTGGCTGTTTCTGCGCAACACATCCAGCAAAACCAAAACCAAATGCACACATTTGCCTTTTAGCGCCCCCGCTCTGCCTCTTCTTCTCTTTTGCTTTGCTTTGATTTCTGTGATTTCCGTCCGCAAATCCAAGCTATTCCTCTAGGTTTTTGCATTCGATCATCATTCTTCCTCGCGTTTCTAGATCTGATCGCCAACCCCGCTCTTCCCGAGTTCCCCCGCTCGCCGCCGGCGCAGATCTCGATCTCTCCCGCTCCGGTAACTTTACTCTCGGTCTGCTTCTTTGCCGCATTGTGTTTGGCTTGGGTGAGAACGATATGGATTCTGGAGGTCAATTTTGCTTTTGTGTGCGTTTGTTCTGGTTTGTGTGCTTTCTTTCCTAGCGAGGAATCGGATTCCAGGAGGGGAATTTTTTTTCTTTCTATGTTCGTGTTTGGATTCGTAATTTTCTCCTCCTTGTGAGTGCTTTTTATTTTTCTGTTTTTTTTTTATTCTCTACTGGTACCGCTACCAATACCACTGGTAGCGCTATTGGTACCAATACAACTGGTAGTGCTATTGGTAGCGCTATTGGTACACTACCACTACTCACTAGTACCAATACCAGTGCTAGTAGCGTTGTGTTATTCTCTACTGGTAGCGTACCACTAGTACTGGTACATTTTTTATTGGTACCGCTAGTACTAGTACATTTTTTAACGTACTGGTAGCGTACCACTAGCACTGGTATATTAATTACCAGTAGACTAATAGATTGGTACACTTTTTAACACATTGGTACATTTTTTCAGGTTGCCGGAGGGAGTCTGCCGGAGAGAATTCGCCGGAGAAAAAGTTTGTCGGTCGATGCGGAGTGGCCGCTGGAGAAAGGAAGAGAGAGAGAGATAGATAGAGATATTAATGTATAGGATTTAAATTTAAAAAAAAATTGTATTTAATATGGGTTTTTAATTTCCAATATAATTAATACAAAAGAGGTAATTAATATATTCCTTTTTTTCATACCCAAAATATCCTTGGTTGTGAATCTGATGACAACCCCTTAGGGGTTGTCACCGTATCCCGTCCCACGAGCTACTGGTTCCCCGCAATAGGAGCACCAGGATTCTTCTTAATGTCATCCCATCCTCGTACCCATGGCTGCCCAGGAAGTGCCCTAGTTTCAGGAGACGCGTGGCTGTTGAGGTTGTTCATGATCTTATCACGCAGCTCACAGAACACCTACCAAACATAAACAAATAGACAGATCCATTCAGAAAGCATACAAGATTCACTTTAACCTCAATGAAAAACAAAGAAGTTGCATCAGTCCCATCGCTATCTACTAAGGTCTGCAAATCAACTGCTGAAATTCACGCCATTACAAATCTCAGGCTTCCCTGGTCGCTGAAACCCTAATGTTTTCACATAACCCTAATGGAATTGGTTCCTGATATGTGTTCAAGTCCCTCACCGAATGCAATCCCACCATTCTAAGCAAAACAAAGCAACTTACCGGGTTTTGGCCCACTGCATCTGGGGGTTGCTCCTGCCCAGTTAACCACTTCCACAAATCAGGATTTTCCTGAAAACCCATAAACCAAAGGGTAAACAATTGTCGGAGCAAATCCTACGACTCCAGAGCTCTTAGACAGCTAGTCTAGGAAGATATTAATTTCTGCTTTCAAGTGCATTCTTCAGGAGAAGCAGTTGACAACTCTTATGTAGAACGTCAAGTAATTCCTAAACCACATGCAAGATCCTCCAAGGGTCACCACAGGTCAGCATAAAAATCCATATCAACCACCTTTTCGCATCTCAACAAGGTTAGGGCATGCCCTCAGTTGAACTACCATGAACTGCTTAAACCATCGAGCCGCGCAATTCAGCGAGATAAACAGTTTCAGGATCCCAGCATTCTACAGATATTCAGGAACTACACGAGATAATCACACAGCTAAGATGAAAACTTACAAGCCCACTTCGGAATTTAGCAGATTCAGGTAAGAATTCTGAAACGGGAAGCACCCTAAAGCAGCTAGTTTATTTATGAATGATTATGTGAATGTATTAACTATTAAACAGTAGTAGGAAACTCACAAATTGTGAGCTTCTTTCAGTAATCTGTAGTACAAGAGAAACATTACAAGCAAATTAAAAGAAACTGGGCTATGTGTTTCTTCATGGCGGGCTAAAAACGTTTTGAGTATCCAAGTAGCAGATGATTGAGAGCCTGCACTTGACTCCTTCCAATTACGCCATGTACCATACTCCAATGGATAACATGAGTGACAATTTTGTACCTTACTTGATCCGTTGAGCAACTTACAGCACTGAAAGTTCTTGCATTTCGCTCTAACTAGATGTTCCGCCACATCGTATGGGGTAAAAGATTCATACACTCTAAAGCAGCTAGTATGTCGGCAATCAAAGGCTCTTTCAAAACCGAAGGAGACAAAAAGCCCCAAGATTGAACCTCTATTTCCTTACCAGATCAAGGACGTTCACAAGCGCTTGGATCCCGTTTTCGTCCATGGAATGAATGTGCTCCTCTACCCATCTCCCAAGTACCAAATCCAATTCCAGGTATCCTCTCTGCTTGCTCCTGTACAGCAACCTGGATTCATTCGCCCACCAAGCGATTCAGTCAGCCAAATATCAGAAGGAAAAAAGGGAATACCAAAAATGAATACCAGACCTGTTAATCAAACGCCGTTTGCTCTCGTCATCGGATAGATCGATAGGAATCGTTCCAGAATCACCGTTGCTCAAACTCGAGTAACGGGAAAAACAGCAACTGTATTCTCGCGATTGAAGTCTAAGGTGGAAACAAATTACTTGCTCTGGAGGGAAAGAAGAAGATGATGACTGACGAAGAGAAGTTACAGGCGACGGTTATACGTACAGGGAAGCAGACCCGGCACGGATTGGGGAGGAGAGAAGCGGTGAAATCGAGCTACTATTAATCGCCGCCGTGGCGTTGAGGACGCGTCGGGCGCCAGTGAGAGTCCTTATAAAGCTTGCCATCGCCGTGATCTCGGAGACGGCAATCTGTGACTGTTACCGGAGCGGAAGATGGGAAGATTCCGGCAGTAGGAACGGGAAGTAATTGGGATCGCACGCAAGAGGACGAGAAGGGGGATTCGCGCTCGAGAATGGGTTATGCATCCATCAATAGGGGCCGTTTAGTATCATTTTGTTGTTGTTGTGGTTGCAGTATCATTTTGTTGTTGTGGTTGCAGTAGTGTTGTGTAGATAGATGTACAACCACAACAGGAAAAAAACAGAAAACACAAACCTGTTTAGTTGATAAATCTGAAAAATCATGAAAGCTTAAAACAAGAAACAAAAACGCGTTTAGTTAATACAAAAACGCGGGTCGGCGGGCTGGGCTGGCTGCACGGCGGAGGAGTCGGGCTGCGCGGCGGGCTGGGTCAGCGCGGAGGCGGAGGGGTCGGGCACGGAGGCAGAGGGGTCGGCAAGCGGACGTCGGCGGCGGGTCGGCCGGCTGGGCTGGCTGCGCGGCGGAGGGTTCGGGCTGCACGGCGGGCTGGATCGGGCCGGAGGTGGAGGGGTCGGCGACTGAGGAGGTGGCGCGGCGGAGGTGGCGCCTTGTTGAGAAGGGTGGCGGGTGACGCCTCTGTTGAGAAGGGTTTAGGGGGAGAATAGTTTGGGGGGCGGCGGCTGATATGTTAGAAGTAGGGTTTGGGGGGTGGCGGCTGTGTTAAAAAAAAAAAAATTGCTTCTGTGGGGATTCGAAAACTGGTATGGTTTAATGAAATCAAGTGCCCAACCAGTAGGAATCCCATATGCAACATGTTTTAAAATCAGATCCAAAGCAATAAATTGTTGTTTCTCATATTTGGGCCTTGTTGTGCAACTCTGATTCACAACAGAAAATAGAAACCCAACTAAACATGTTTTTTTTTTCTTGGTTTCTCCAACTAAACATGTTTTTCTAACTTTCATAATCGGCTCATATCTTCTCCGTTTTAACTCGATTTTTTTTTTGCACAGATGGAACGAGTTCATCGTGCTCTACAAAATGAGATCTATTTTCAATATTTTTTTAGAAAAAAAATTCTTGCCTCTCAGTACCAACTACATACCATATGGTATTTTTTTCGTTTTTAATTCGTTTTTGAAAACGTTTGCACAGAAGGGAAGAGTTCATTATGATTTATTGGATCTACAAATTTCTGGGTGAACAAATTACAGGACCAAAAAATACCACACAATACCACCTTGGTACGGGGTGGTATCTTATGGTATACAATGTTAAAAGTTGTAAATGACAGTTAATATATTTCTACTATCATGTATTCAACCATCCTACAATCTTGGTTTGTTCATACCACTATGGTACGCTTTTCAAACCATATGTATGCTCTTATTTCAATATCATATGATATAGACTGGTAAAAAATGGCTCAATTTTTTTGTTCGAAAAATATATCAAAGTGGATATCATTTTGAAGAGCATAATTAATCTGATCTAACTATGCAATAAACATTAAATTTCCAGTTAAAACGAGTGAGAAATCGTTCGTCAAATATTAAGGAGGAGGAAATTAAAGACTTTCCAGAAGAGATAGGGATGCTGATGTGTACGGGTTACTCATGGTTACTCACCATAAGATTATTAACCTGATCCGTTCCGGGGATTCGTGGGTTTTTTTAAGAAATTGAACGAACAAAAGGGAAAGTTGCCATATGAAAAAAGGGCAAAAGTTGCCACATCGTACTTAGAGGTGTCAGTTCGGGTCGGGTTCGCTTACCCGAACCGAAACTCGAAAAAACCCAAAAACCGAAAACCGAAAAACCACTAAAACCGAACTCGATAAGGACTAGCGGGTTCTGGTTACCCGAAACCCGAAAATTTCTTATCGGGTTCGGGTTCGGTTAAAGCAAAACCAAAACTCGAACGCCTAAGAATACGGGTTGAGTTTTATTCATTGGAGGTTTTTAGTCGGACCCGAAAAACCGATAAGCAAAACCAAACCCGAAACCAAAACACCCGAAACCCGAAACGAATCCGAACCCGAAAAACTGAAAATATATATAATCGGGTCGGTTTCGGGTAAACCCGAAAAACCGAACCCGAATGGACACCCTAAGCGTACTCACGTTTAAACTAAAGTTTGCCCAAGTCATTTGTTAGTTACCTAGTTATATAATTTGTATAATTGTATTAGCCATTTATATTAATGATGTGTCTTTTATGAGCACTTATACTATTGGTGCTTTAACGTACAACTTAAAATTGTACCATAATGTTAAATGTATAAGTTAAGGTTGTACCATAAAAGAATTTGTACCCTTATGTTATGGTACAACTTTATAACATAAAGTTGCACCATCACATGAATGTACAAGTTTAAGTTGTACCATAAAAAAATTTGTACAAAAGAGTATAGGTACAATATGAAGTTGTACCATAACGTTAAATGTACTACTTCAAGTTGTACCATAAAAACAAAAAGCTATAGCACCAATACTATATAGCATTGTAAAATTCTTCGTCTTTTTTATTTGTTATTTGGTTATGAATTATTTAGACAAATATTACTTTGAGCAACGTATTGATTACATGCAAAAGTGAAAATGATTAAAAAAAAATGCAGCTAACAGTGACATATATATTTACAATCAAAGTGTTGTCTATAACTAGGTATGTGCAACAGTCCGGTCCAGTCGGTCTGATCCGGTCCAGTTCAGGGTTAGACCAAACTCAGGAGAACTACGCTCCAATAGTAAGAGACTTGTATGGATCAAGGACTGGACCAACAGTGCATTTGGTTTACTTTGGTCTGGTCAAGGTTGTCAACCCGCGGATCGACCCACTTTGACCCTGGCCCCGTGAAAAAAACGGGTCGTATGCATCCGCCGGGTCGACTGCTATAAGGTACTGGGTTGGAGGTCAAATTGTGTCATTTTTGTCTTTGGTTTGCGAAATGCACCTATTTTTCGATTTTTCTTTTCGCCTAACTCAATTTTTGGAATCCTAAGTTGAACATTTGAATATTGATATTATATAAGTGTGTGTGAATTTTCACTATATGTTAAATCTAAGTACGACATGTTATTTTGGTGTAATATTATATGTTATAACTCATACATATGTTAGATGACATTTGATATAATTTATGAGAATAAGTACAATATAATGACTATTTCCATATTTCCGGGCTAAAACGGGTGACCCATTAACTCTTGACCCACTAGCTCGACCAGGTCCGGGTCAGCCCGCGGGTTGACAACCTTGCGTCCTGTTCAAATGTTACTTCGATCAATTTTTCTTCAGTATTTCTAAATTCATAAAACCAAGGATGAGATCATATTGAACTCGATTTGGTCTGGTCCAGTCCATGCATCGGTTTGGTCCGGTACAGAGCAAACAGTTGCACACCCCAATCTGTAAGCATGAAATATTTTTTTCAATTTTTATCTTCGTCGTTGATCATGGAAGGAATTATATATTGGCATATAATAGAGGAACATTGACATATATTATTAAGATTTTTATTCGAACAAATGTGTATGAATTATTGTCATAGAATAGTTTTTTTAACTTTTGCATTCATTGGTCTAGTATAAGTTTACCATGCATGTTTGAGATGGTAGTGGCAAAGAACTAATGAAATATGTTTAACTATATATATATATTTAAAAATTTTAAAATATGAACAACTTTATTTTCTAAAACTGTTCAGTTATGATAGTACACTAAGCACATGAACCACTAGAGCTATTTTAGTTGGCAGAAAAGAATTTGGGGCTGGAGTAGTGTCATTAGCACTTGAGGATGGTGATGACACAAATGTCAAAAGCAAAGAGAGCTAGCCGGATGAATTCTGGATGAATTCTAGATCGGACGGATATGCAAATACAACAAGAAAAATTGGAGAATTGCTCCAAGTTGAACGCGAGTTGTCTTTGCAGGAAACTTTTCAAAAAATCTAGTTGTTGACGCCTTCAAAGAGTTTCAATATATCATCTAATCTAATGTGACTATTAAATCCATTCCTAGATCTGCCGCCTATATTTATATGTAGAGCTATCTCTCATTTAAATATTAAGTTGTGTTATATACTGGAGTTATCCTTTACGTTTATTTGTATGAACTCATGTGGCAACTAAGAACAATACAGTCACCATTTGATTGATATTATAACTAAGAACAATATAGTCACCAATGTGGCAACTAAGAACAATATAGTCGCAATCATGTGCGCTTCACGTGAAGACATTCTCACATAAACGAGCTACTGCAGTGCCAGATCAAAAGGCCAAAACCACGCGTTCCTGAATTAAACTTAAACACAAATCTTGGATTCAATCAACCACAAGTTTCAAAAACAAAAAAAAAAAAATACAACTACTTCCTCAATCATGATATGAAAGAAAAATTACTTATTAAGCCACATACAAAAGTTTTGAATTATGCCCAAAATCTAATAAATAAATAAATTAAAAGCCGATCTCGCGTCTTTCAGCAAAGAATTTCCCAGTAATAGCCTGATCAGGGAGTAAGGCCAACCATACTCCTGTGTCGGCACCGTCCTCTGCAGATATGGTTCCAGCCCACCCTGTCATTGCTGTTTTAACCCACCCAGGGCAGTAACAATTCACAAATATTTTCTCACCCTCGCCTCTATTATCAGCCATCTCCTTAGCCAACAACCTGGTGTAGCAATTCACTCCTAGTTTTGACACGGAGTAATCCGTGTTGGTGAGAGGCCAACCACCAGATTCCCAACTCCCATCTTCCACTTGCTCTAAGAACTTTGACATCATTCCATCGATCAGTTCCTCTGACAATGTTTCCAAGTCATTTAGTTTTGCTCTCAGCTCTTCATTTTCGATTCTCTGATAAAATGAACAACAACATTGTTGTATGGTTCATCATCAATGTTCATATATTGTAATAGTGGTATCATCCACACGTTAGTTAATAGCAATATACGACAATCTCCATCCCCAACTTTTAGTAATTGCTAAAGGTGAGGTGGAGCTTAGGGAGCAAAAAAACTTAGCAATAACCGGGGATGGAGGAGTTCTTTCTAAACTAGCAAGATTGCTAAATTAGCAATTCTTCTAGCAATCTCACATAGATAATTATTTACTATATTTTCTTGCTTATTAACTTTTCAATTGATAAGTGTTTGTGTAGATTTGAAATAATAAATGGAACCCACTTTGACAATTGCTAACATATTTTAGTGATGTTGATGAGTAAAAATTGCTAGGTTAAGAATTGCTAGATTTAATGATGCGGTGGTAGGACCACTTTTAAAAATTGCTAATCAATTTTACGGATGGCGATAGTCTAATGGCCTACAATGTATTGTGATATAATAGCAAAACTTCAACATATTTTATAGTATTTTGTCGGTATAATATCTAATAGATCCATTTAATTTTCCATCATAATGCAGTCTACTTCTACCGATATTCCATCTAAAATTTTATTCTAAATTGAGTTACAGACATTGATAACAGTATTAAATAACTAGAGCTCACATTTTTGCATTCATCATAATTTATATAAGGTCCCCTTCAAACTTACATTTCGTTTTCCGTTAACTCTGCCCAGCCTTGAGCTGACGTTAACGATCCGTCCACCTGCTTGAGACGGTCTGATAAGTGGGATCATTGCCTTGGTCACTTTTTTAATAGCATAATAATTAGTATCAACAACCATCCGAGCAAATTCCACCGAATTCTCGGAACCGAGATTGAAATTAACACCTGCATTATTGACCTTAAGAAAAACACAAACACACAAAAAAAAAAAAATTGAATAAATAAGGAACAAGAATCATACATGCATACCAAAGAGCATTCAATTCGATATTTTTGGTAATAATTAACCCACCAGAATGTCTATGCCACCATATTGTTCTTTCACCCACTCACAAAACTCTTTGATAGATGAATCGTCCAAAACATCGAGTTGGTGGAATGCCACACTTAAGCCCAGCTCTTGCAATACACTTGAGGCTTCGATTCCGGCACTAGCTTCCCTAGATGTTAGTATTACTGTGACTCCATGTCCTGCCAGCTGTCTCACTATCTCGAACCCTATTCCTCTGTTTGCCCCTGTCACCACTGCAACCGTTTCCACTGACCACCATCTAAAAATAATGTAAGGAATAATTGAAGATTAAATTTCATTACCCGGAACATCAAATATTACTAAACAAGCAAGCAAAGTGCAATGCAACAACATTTGAAAAATGGTCTAATCGTATAAATCTCGAACTTTGCCAAAATTTTCATTAGTCCTATTGTTAGGTTTGATCAAGACCCTAGTCAATAATGACACTGAAGCTGATTTGACAAAAATTTAGCAAAAAAGGAAAACAAAAATACACAGGTATAACCAAAACTTCAGCTTTGTTACAATTGTAACCAGATTTGACATTTACACCAGTATAGGAAGATTTGGGTTTTTTTTGGGATAAATAAAACCATTTTAATTAGAAACATTAACAAGGTCCGTGATACTGTTAAAAATGTTTAACATCAAGTTGACTTGGACACCACGTCAGTGCCAAATCATGCCATGCATTCTTCCCCTAACGTCCCTCCCTCTCTCAACGTCTCACGACTTCATCCGAACTGGTAGATTGCTTTTCCAATCTTGTTCATAATCTGCACACCTTTCTCGTATTATCCGCAGAAGCCCTCGACTAGTAGGTAAATGACTAGGATCGATTGCCTTGGAGAGTGCCGACGGGTCGAGGAGTTCAGCCTCAAATAAGAGGTAGACGTTGTTAGTGAACGGTATATGATTAACAATTGGACCTCTTTCAACAACTCGACTTATTGGGAGCAACTCGTTCTTGACATGGTATCAGAGCTTTCTGTGACCGAAAGGTCTCATGTTAGAATCTCGACGACCCCGTCTGTTTCCGTTAAGCACATGCATTAAAAATATCCACCTAATTCAATCCATTTAAATCTCATCTATTTTATCCAAATCCAATTGGATTGATGGATTCATGGATTGATCCATGGATCCAAATGACAAATTACGGTTTGGTACCTATATTTTTTATATTTTACGTTTTGGTACCAAAAATTTAATTTTTATACCAAAAATATTATTGGAAAATTATATTTTGGTACCTAAAATTTTTCATTATGACATTTTAGTACCTAAACTTTTTACATTTTAGATATTGGTTCTTGGTTGAGGATGTCATTTGGATTCTTGGATAATCCATCAATCTACTTGATCCAATCCATGAATCCACCAATCCATTGGATCCAATCTATTTGATTCATAGATCCACCAATCGAATCCACCAATCCATGGATCAATCCATTTGCCACCTCTAATCGTTTGTCACTTCCTCTTTCACCGCCATCTCTCATTTTCAGAGATTTCCAATAAAGTCCCCACAACTGAACCAGTTTCTCTCTTTTCCTCTCAGAATCATCCAACTCCATCAGTCAGATTCCTAGTATTTGATAACCCTCTCTAGCCTCTCCGATGAACCTATAGTTGCCGCAGCTCCGACGTCTCCTCTATCTAACGATTAACTTAAAAAACATGGGTTCACATCACAATCTTTTTCTTTTTTGTGAGATGGGTTCACAATCTTGTTGTTGAAGAAGTCAAGAAATTAGGTGAAGGGGGCAGAGAGGAAGAGATTGAAATTGGCCCTCGGAGGAATTAGGGACGGCGAAGGAATACAAATAGGGATGGCAAAAAAGACTTTGGTGTTAAAGTTGACAAATTGATTGTATTCATGATGAATTTTTGGATCAAATGAATTAAATTCAATGGATTCATGGATTGGATCAAATGGATTGGTGGATTGATCAATGAATCTAAATGACATTATGTCAAGTCTTCGATTATTATGTAAATTTTAAAAGATTAGGTACTGACATATCATAATGAAAAATTATATTAGGTACCAAAACATAATTTTTCAATGATATTTTTCGTATAAAAATATATTTTATCTACCAAAATGTAAAATATAAATGGTATAGGTACTAAATCGTAATTTTTCATTTGGATTCATGGATCAATTCATAAATCCACCAATCCAATTGGATTTGGATCAAATGGATTGGATTAGGTGTATAATTTAGTGGATGGATTGAATTCATGGATATGGATCCTAATTTCCACCTTTACTTAGTATGACTAAATGCAATTTTTATGGTTCAAATCAAATTTTGATAATATCATTTTTGGAGTTTACTCATACTCATTTTTTTAGTTTGGGTCTAAAGTATACCAACTATATTAGAAACGCAAAAGAATATGTATATTCAACTTCAGTGTGATTTTTGTATTTTTCTTCCTTCTAAAACAAATATAAATGTGAATTTGTTAATATAAGGTGTGAACTGCTTGAAGGCAAATAATGAGATGGTCAATATTGTTTTTTATTATATAATATAGACATAAATAGGTTCATTTGGGTCCAACACAAATGGGTTGACGTAAACTAGTCCCAATCGAAACCCATATCCAAAATTGTTACGAGTGCATATGAGCTCATTTGAGTCAAACACAATACTCATATAGATTGAAAATTGGATCCATTCAATGCAGTCAAAGTAAGGATTTTATGTAAATTGAAAACTATAGTTAAATCTTAATCGTAAAATTGAATATAAAGTCGTACGATTTCAGGGTTCATATAAAAAAACACTAATAATATTAATAAGGAAAATCATGAATAACACAAGAACACATAAAACTTAAAACAATAATTTCTCAAGGTTAATGTTTCAACTTCTCAATTTTAATGTTGAAAAGTAATGAATCGGTGATGATTAATGAGTTTACACGAATTAATGATAGTTGATGGTCGCTCGTGAGAGAGAGCTACATAATGTTAATGGAGGAGAAGGAAAACATGCATTATGTTTTGCTAATGGGGGGATAAGTAAATCTATCCTATTCCTTTAACTCGTTTGATTTGGTCCAAATTCGATCAATTCAATATAGACTTTGAAATATATTCTATTTCCCCATCAAGCCCGTAAAAATCGTAAAAATCCTTTAAAATTATAAGATGTTTAAGATCAAAATATGTAAGTAATATCATAAATCACAAGATTTTATAATTTAAATTGAGATTTTTACTATTTTGGATCCAATTACCCAATGAGGCCGCTTATTATCAATTTATCATCCCTAGATAAAAACCATTAGTAGGGATGAATTGGCAAGGAGGACTCAAGAAGGGATCTCAATTTTTTTCATTGAAAATAATTGAGACTTTTATGATCATTATGTGTCACCCACATGAACAAAATACTAATATCAGGTCATCGATGGTTAAACAAATATTGACCAACATTTTAACAAACAACAGAAGCTTATGGATATAAAATGTTTGACCCTTTATAGTTTGGAATACTTCTATCTTTACAGAAAGTTCGATTAATGATAATTTTGTCAATGTTGTGAATTTATCATGATACTAATTCAAAAACAAATTGAGACAAATGCTTTAACAACAAATAACAAACATTTTATTCACGCAATATATACTTTCTCACATGCAACTTATACTCTATTGATGCTGGAATACCATATATTGTATGCTAACAAATGCCTCTCACCAATTGTTATTGATACAATGCCTTATTATTTTAAAATATTTAAGAAAATATGTTGGTTGATGCCTTTAAAGTTCGTTTTGAGAATGAGATTGATAACATTTACATTCGGAGCATATGAAGTATCCGATTACCCATTAAAAGAAATATAACAATACTGCAAATCATGCACGAAAAGATTAAAGAGTGACTGATATTTTATTGAACGAAAAGGAGAAAAGAACACTTTACCTTTGATGATCTGAATAGGGAATTGTGCGGAGGAGAGAAATTTCTTGCCTTCTCTTTTCTTTTTTGTCTTTTGTTCGCTCTTTACTTCCCATTTGTTCTTTGTTAATCTCCTTGTCCTTTGTTTTTTTTTTTACCTTTGTTACCTGTTTTTCTATTTTTCGAGTAATCTGTTTTCCCTGAAAGAAAGAGACTGAGTGGTGAGAATTGATATGCAGAATTGTCTACCGAAAATTATGGTCACACGTGGGTGATTAGAACTGGCAACAGCCAGCCACCACGTGGCACCTAGTGATACTTTTTTTCCTGCTTTTCTGTTTTTGTAAAAACTCTTCATGCGTTGTGTATGCTTGTGATGCAAGATTGTCAAATCGGGTGAAGTTATTGAGCCGGTTAAGTAAGGGGTTTGAGATTTATTGATCTCATCGGAGTCCGATCGATTTGAGCCATTTTATACGTTTTCTAAATATATGTACAAATAAGGTAGTAATTAAAAATTAACGACTGAAATGAAATTTATCTTACATATATCTATTAAAAACTTATTTCCCACAAAATAAAACCTACCTAACCTCCAAGATTCACCCCACCATCTTCCTTCCTCATTTCCCCCTCCTCCATTTCCTCTCCTTTCTTCTCCCTCTTTAGGGGTCTGATCGGGGGGATTTCTGGAGATCGTTTTCAAACCCGACTTAGGTCAGACTGGGTCCAACTAGGGCCCCGATAGGGGTTTAACAACCTTGACGTTAATATGGATGCTAGGCAATGGCGGACTTGTGTGTCGGAGTCTGTAATAAACATAAAATAATTAATAAAAATTTAATTCATAAAGTTTACGATTTCATTATTTTTTTACAATGAGACTACAAAGATTTTCGTATTCTAAGAGGTTTGTAAAGTACATTCATCATTTAAATTATGAATCCAACCTTTTTCGATGTACACAATTTAACAATAATTCATTAATCGGTCACTCAACCAATTCAGAAGATCTTTCTTGATTAACTTACTAACTTAGCTTGCACTTGCAACGGGTATAGTCAATACTAGTATTAGAAGGAGCACTTCTACTATGCTTTATGGCATAAATGCTTTAAATTACAACTTTAAATTGTACCATAACATTAAATGTACAAATTGAAGTTGTACCATAAATGTACAACTTTAGCTTGTACCATAAAGAGATTTTTACAAAAGAGTATGTGTACAACCTAGAGTTGTACCATAACGTTAAAGGTACAACTTGAAGTTGTACCATAAAGACAAAAAAAAATAAAGCACTGACACGCTAAAACACAACACCAAACTGCGACCAAGTATAATCGCAGTCCGGAAATGTAGAATAGTGGCAAGTTCAATTTATCAACCCAGAGTCTAGATCTACTGTCTACTCCGTGACTACCTGTTATCTAGCGGGACTAAGTGTAGTGAGAGTGATTGCAAACAAAAGCAGTAAGAAAGCAGGAAATTGTCGAGGTTGTTAAGCAAGGGAAGAGTCACTCGGGAATGAATCCCCCTAGCTCCTTAGTTAGGTCAAAGTTGTAATTCCCTTTGGTTGATTCACTGTTGATTAAACTACTGAAGATCCTAAATTAGCTTGGAATCTCTTAAACTGACTAAGCCCTCTTAGACAGAATACCCGGCAGGCGACTAGCCTTCACCAGAATAGATTGCTAAGGCGATTCACATAGATCTCCACTACTGGAATTGGATTCCAGTACAAAGCAGTGAATTGACTAACTCTCATATAATCAATTCACTACTACTGATTGAAGAAGTTCTAACAACCTAATCAGATTCTATCTATCTCAGGTTGCAGCAGAAATCAAGAAAAGTTTATCAGGCTTCAATTGACTCAAAAAATACACTTTAATCGATTATAATCAAGCAGTATATCAATCCAAACGTCATTACAATCAATATCTCTAACACATGGAACTAGGGTTCTTCATACTAAAATGAGAGAGAGTTCTACTCCATAGAGAGAGAGAGAGAGAGAGAGAGAGAGAGAGAGAGTAAAACAGAATACAAAGCAGTCATACTCATAATGATGGGAAGAATCTGCTTTGGGATGATAATCTTCACTCCAGGGATGAAATCCAAGCTTGATTGATGAAACCCAGCTCCAAAGTCACCTCTAGGGTTTGTTCTTCGCACTTTCTCTCTCTAGGACTCTGTTCTTGCTTTGGAAAATCGATTCCCTCTTCAAAGACCCGAAATTGGGTTAAAAACCCATTTCTGCCCGATCACACAGCCAGGCCACACGGCCGTGTGAAATCCCCAGCTGCCCGTGTGGCTCTCCAAAATGTCCCGCTCGATTTAGTGACTCCAGGTACGCTACACGGCCAAAACCACACAGCCGTGTAGAAATATTTCCTGCCGTGTGAACTCTCTGGACATCCCACACGGCCAAAAGGGGTCCTTACACGGATCGTGTGGCTTTGTCCGCGTAAAGGTGTTCCACACGGCCAAGTCACACGACCGTGTGGAATTTAGGCCAGGTCGTGTGGTTTCCTCAGCTTTTCGTCCAACGTCCCAACTTCGTCCAATCGACCCCGAACTCGTGCCCAAACCTTCATTCTGGTACTAGGACCTGAAATATCACAAACAAGAACAACCTAGCGTGAAATCGGCTTAAAACACCAAAAATGAGACTTAAACGGTATAAGAATGATGGACAAAAACATGTGTATAAATCAAGTTATCAAGCACCAATACTTTAAATCATTGTAAACTTCCTCAGGAAGCAGACCGAATGATAAAATAAATAATGCCCAGAATCATGCAATTAGCGATTTTGTGCTACTTCTCCCAAATTAGCCAAAATCACACCAAAATTTATTTAATTCAACCATGAATAATAATTTGGCAGGTAAAATCTAAATCTAAATCTAAAGAATATAAGATGGTGGAGTTTTGCAGGATTTTCACCATTTGAAATTTCCTTGCTTCTCCTTAATTGTAGGTAGGGTATAAAAGTAATTATATCTTGATTTTAATTTTTTTTAAGTTTTATCTCCTTACTTTGTTACTGTACGCAAAAAATGGGGAGCGAGAAGAGATTAGGGGGAATGAAATAATATAAGAGGTGTTTAACATTTTCAAAAAAATTTTTACATAACCGTTTGTATATTTTTTGAAATATTATTTAATTATAAAATCTAAATTAATATAAAACAAAAGGATCTATAATTAAAAAAAAACCTTATGTTTTTTTTTGAACAACACGTTCCTTCATTTTATGCTTTTGGAATATCATTTAATTTTTATAATCAATCGGTAACTCTTTACTAATATGTTTATTATTATGTATTCTAATTAAACTGGTATTTTGGTATTGTATTGGATTTCTTTGAGTTTTTTTTGAAATTTTTGTAAGCTACTTCTCATGGAAAAATCATTTCTTATGGTTTAGAAAAATTACATTTGTTTTCTTAATATCTTAGTTTTTTATTCCATTTTAATTTTAGCTATATTCTTAGTTAAGATCTCCTTCTTTTTGGAGTGGTTCATATTCTCGATTAAGCTATATTGTTTATAATTAGTATTGATTTTCAATAATTTTATATGAGTTCACAAAAATGGTAGCAAACACTGCTAATATATATCGTACTAAAAGAATTAAGAGTTTTATCTATTTAGAAATTTATAGAATCAAGATATGGTGTACAAATGTACAATACATCCTTTCTATTTTAACATTGAGGATAGATAATTTAGTAATGGACTATTTTTGTATGATTAGAACAATAGAAAGTTTATTTAATAATTAATGGATAATTCTAAAAGTTGGAAAAAGAAAGCACGTAAAAGTAAAAAATATGAAAGGGTATGGTGTTTTTATATTTGGATTTTTGTATTTATGAATTAGTGTAGACTAAACTAATGTTACAAATATGCAAAGAGGAATTTTTTTTTGAAAAACAAAATGAAAGAAAAGAGCACAAATTTGAGGTGCGTACTAATATTCTTTGCTATGTAAACTATATTCATGTATGCGTACAAAGCATATTCATAATTTTTGGATTCAAGGAGATCAAATGGTATAGATTATAAGAAGCGAGGTATTTTTCTTTTCCCACAAAAGTGATAAGAATATCATGACATTAATCACATACAAAGGAATTTCAACGATGATATGAATATGGTGATAAACCTGCTCATATTGTGCTAGACTTTGGATAATTTTATAAAAAAAAAAAAATTGAAAAACTATTAAATATCCTGAATAATTAAAATTGTTATAAAATTATACTCAAATAGTCCGGCCAACCGGCCGGGCATAAGCTAGTTAGGAAAATGAGGAAGAAGAAAATAATTTTGGGCAAACCTCCTTACCGCCTAGGTCTGCCACTAATGCAGAAAAAATCCAAAAGTACCACTGTTTAAAAAAAAATTCCAAAAATACCACCCAATCCCAAAAAATTCCAAAAATACCATCCTTTTTCAAAAACCGCCACCCCACCCTGCGGTTTACACGAAAACCGTTTGTCGGGGGCGCGGTTTTCTATGCAAACCACGGGCATATGGGGCTGTTATAAAAAAAAAAATTGGACCAAACCGCTGGTCAAACCGCCACCCCACCCAGCGGTTTGGTCCAAATTTTTTTTTTTTCGATTAACTCCTAACTTCGGCCGAAACTTCAAACGAACGTAACTTTGCAATCGGGTATCTGATCGATGCGATTTTTTTTCATTTCGCATAACTTTTCAAGATATACAACTTTTTTTAGGATGAAATTTTCAAAACAGGAACTATTTGTGGATATACAGGACCTTGAGAATAACTTTACCTTTACTTTTCACAAATCCATGTACATTTGGAAATTATGATTATATTAAAAGTTGTAGATCTTGAAAAGTTATGTGGAATAAAAAAAAAATTCATGACATTCGGATTTTGGAGCACAGAGTTATGGCCCCCCAAAGTTTGACGAAATAAAAAAAAAGGCTCGTTCGGGGTGGCAAATGACGTTTTTTCGAGACGAAGGCGGGACCCGACGGTTTGCGGCTTGCAAGATCTCAAAAAGTTATTCGGATTCAAAAAATGGAGGCCGCAAACTTTTTGAGATTTTGCAAGCCGCATACCGCCGGGTCTCGCATTTCGTCAAACTTTGGGCGGTCATAACTTTGTGCTCTAAAATCCGAATGTTATGAATTGTTTTTTGATTCCGCATAACTTTTCAATATCTACAACTTTTAATATAATCATAATTTCAAAATGTACGTGGATTTGTGAAAAGTAAAGGTAAAGTTATTCTCAAGGTCCCGTATATCCACAAATAGTTCCTGTTTTGAAAATTTCATCCTACTAAAAGTTGTAGATCTTGAAAGGTTATGCGAAATGAAAAAAAAGATCGCATCGATCGGATACTCGAGTGCAAAGTTACGTTCGTTTGAAGTTTCGGCCGAAGTTAGGAGTTGATCGAAAAAAAAAATTTGGACCAAACCGCTGGGTGGGGTGGCGGTTTTGGGTCAATCCGCCACCCCACCCAGCGGTTTGGTCCAAATTTTTTTTTATATAACCGCCCCCTAGGCCCGCGGTTTGCATAGAAAACCGCGCCCCCGACAAACGGTTTTCGTGTAAACCGCAGGGTGGGGTGGCGGTTTTTGAAAAAGTGTGGTATTTTTGGAATTTTTTGGGATTGGGTGGTATTTTTGGAATTTTTTTTTTAACAGTGGTACTTTTGGATTTTTTCCCGCTAGGTCAAATTGTTTTGGCTTTTGCATGGCGGGTAAAGAGCTTTGGAAACATAAGAGGAAAAAGCGTATTCACTTGTTTTCCGTTTTTATTTGGGGAAACCATGGGAAAACTAAATTGGGTAGTTGGCCGAAAACAACAAAAGGTTGTTTCTATGAAACGCAAGGTTCCCCAAATAAATAAATAAAAATGCATGGTTGTTGATTTTGGCTGAGACGCGGACTAGGTCATCTCTTTCAGATCTTCATGACATTGCCTTGTATTGTGCACGCTACACTATAAGTCAATCGCCTCCGGGATAAAAAAAAAAAGTCAGAGCTCTTTCAATTTCACTCATGTATATGCTCTTTGAATTGTATCTAAGGGTGTGGGGAGTCGGCTATTTGAAGGAGTCAACCCACCCACCCCCCCCCCCCCCCCCCCCCCCGGAATATTCCTTCGTTGTGGGGAATAAGTCACGTTAACAACTTCTATAACTGAAACCCACTTTGAAATTAATTATCCTTCATTACTTATGTTTTTGTATAAGAAAAAAACTATATAATTATCAAAATTTCTCCAAAGATTTACAGTCTCAAGCCAACCAACCCATTTACCCACTCGTGTGCATGATCATATGACACACGCATTTCTGTAGTAAGGAGGTCCTTTATCTCTCCACAAAAGTGGATTAACTCAAAGGATATGCCCTTAAGAGAGATGAAAATATATTATATACTCTTTGCAAAGCTCTGTCCACCAATGTGGTATTTTGAGACTTCACTTATAGATTTCAAAACTATTTTTTTATATATAAGGGTGATATATTTTTAGTTTTTTTGTAACTGAGTGCTACTTAATGCTCTGTTTGGCAACAAAGGGGTGCAAATTGCAGGGGGGTGCAAGTTGAGGGGTAAATTGTTGGGGGTGCAAATTGCTGGGAGGTGTAAGTGGAGGGGTAAATTGTTGTTTGGATGAAAAAGTAGGGGGTGTAAAATGATGTAAAAAAAGTTTTAGATTATCATATAAATAGTAAATGTAATAATAGAATGTTATATTGTACTTGTGATATCGTACTAATGGTAAAAATAATATGTATGTTATGAATACCAATCCGTTATGAATAATTATAATAATAATTATATTAAAAAATTGATAATTATGTCAGGGGTGGAGTTAGGATTCGACGTTCAGGGGGCCGGATGTTTCGAAAAAAATAAAATTAAAATAGAAACATCATATGCTGGGTCATGATCCAGCCACCTCTAATGAAGAAGAATCATATTCCTAACCCCTGGGCTAGCCAACTTTATTTTCCCATGTTTGCACACTAACTATTTATATTCATTTGCTTACGTTTATACGAAATTTCCAAAAACCAATATATTTATACGTAATTTACAAATTCTCGGGACCTCGGGTCCATGTGTAGCTCTCCCCCTGAATTATGTAATTTCTTACATAATATAAGCATGATATATAAAGATAAAGCCACTTTACAACCCACCGCATCATAATATAAAGATCAAATCCATTTACACCATATAAGTATCTTATATAAAGTTCACAATTTTTACATATAGGACATCCATAAAAGCCACAACATGCGTTCTAATAGTAAACAATGACCATTTGATATGTATATAGGTCATGGCTCATGGTTCATCAGCAAGACCATCACATTCAAAATTACAAGCATAATAACAACTGGCTTTTAGACATATAACAAAAAAATAACTAACAAACATTCTAGTCATCATTCATCCAGAAAGATGGTTTGTTAGACAAGTTCATCACAAACCGCAAGCATGACCGTTCTGGCAAACCAAACATCATGCTTGTCTGCTGTCGATTACCCACAAAGAACTTATAAGCTTGATCGAGCAAGGTTTCGGGCAAGTCCAACTTCTCCAATTCTGCATAAATTTCATTTGCATGATAAATACGTTCTCGTTGATGTTCTTGAATTGAATTACCTCTCTCGATAGCACCAATCAACTCCTTAGAGGATCTTTCAGCAAACTTGTTACATGCATCCAACATCTCGACCATGCTCTTAATAGAAGCACTCACATCTTCAAATTGATGACTAGCTAAGGTGGTCATCGGAGTCTTCCTTTTAAGCCCGCGTGAGGAAGAAGTTCCATGTGAGTTGATGGAAGGAGACGGCTCACGAGTGAAAGCATTCAAACTTTCACCACTGTAGGCACTACCTTGACGCCGTGGGAAAGTAGGAGTATCATCACCACCATTTGCATCATTCAAATCAATATCAAATTGTGGAGATGCATTCCACATTTGCACCCTTTCGAAACCACTAATAGCCCCATCACCTCTTGCTCTCTGCTCACTATACAACTCAACAAGCTTGTCATAGTTGTTCACAAGCAAGCGGCGGTATTTGCTTGCACTAGGTTTCTCCTGCATACAAGGTAAAATGTGGCAGCTTAACAAATCTATAGTGATTGAGATTCAATAAGATTATAAAGGGCAAGTTCTTACTCATCATATTTGCCCACATGAAATATGCCTATTTTGTCCATGTTCTTCATAGTTCATACACATTAAATAAAAATCATCAAAAATCCCGTTATTAACCTGGCACAAACGTTCCCATACTTCAGGCTCGGCCTCAAACATTTTGGTGATTGGGCTCCAACCAAAGCCACTCATATTGTCGAAGATTTCTTTCGCATCCGCCATGTGTTTTTTCAGGGTTCGCTCCCTACTTTTCACATTGGTCTTATCTATGGGAAGACCAAATTTTCCTCGTAAAACTTCAACTACATTGTTCAAAGCATGGATAGTAAACTAACCATCCTGTCTATTCCCTTTTCCTCAGAAAGTAGGAGATCCAAGAGCTCAACATCCATCTCATTTGACCAAATAATACTCTCTTTTCCTTCCCCCCTGAGATGCATATCCCACGACCTTTTCCTTTCCTCTCATTTTGGTACCTACAAAATGTATAATCAGGTTAGTGACTGGCATACAAGGAAAAAAGACATAAGACCAAGTAAACATACTTGTTTTGCTATCACCTTTGAAAATTCATCCTAACTGAACACTATAACCTTACACAAAGCAATTATGGCACACTTTCACAAAATAACAAAGCTCACAGAAAATGGCAAGTGCAAATATAACATTCATTGTACATAGTTGAAAAAGAAAACACTAGAATACAAATGAATAATACAATAGTTCATCTCAAATGATTATTATAATCATTCCACATTTGCTCGGCAATACTATCTCGTAATAATGCTCCCGCTTCAGGATCCTCATCGGATCGTTCATAATTTTCTGTGTTTTGTTCTTAAGCTCTCTGTCGACTTCTGCAAGTAGTTCATCGTCCAGATCCACTCCTCTCAAAAAATTGTGTAAAATGCAACATGCTAAGATGATATCCGTAGTTGTCTGAAATGAAAACTGCGGTTCAGCACCACTCTTTATGATCGGAAACCTTTTCTTCAGAACTCCAAATGCTCGTTCTATTTCATTCCTTAGAGATGTATGACGATGATTGAATAACTCTTTAGCAATCTTAGGTCCATTTCGAGAATACTCCTTTAGGTGGTAACGAACATGCCTATATGGAGTCAATAATGAGCTCTTCAACATAAAACCACCATCACCGAAATAATATTTTCCTAAGCACATAGAAAAATCACAAAATTAGATTTATTGAGAAACAGTTTTCCAATAAAATTACCCAATACGCTAGAACTGTAATGATCACTCACCTTTTGGGATGACAAGTCCGTCAGGCCAAACAAATGCATTTTTTATGATTCTTGAATCATATGCAGTTTCCTCCCAACCCGCTAACACATAGGTAAATTTCAACTCAAAGTCACAACAAGCTATTACATTTTGTGTAGGCCATTCTTTCCGACCAAGAAATCTTGGTTGGTCATCACGTGGAACCTTAACATGAAAATGTGATCCATCAACAGAACCAAGGCAATCCTGTATGATTATAATACAATTATAATATTTTCTATAGTTATGAAATTGATGTATATAATGAATTGGTATGTATGATATTTACCTGAAAATAAAGATAAAACCGAGGATTTCATGAATTTTAGATCCCACAGTAGTGGTGGTTGCAGGTTGTTGTAAGAGTTGAGGGACTAGGCTCAAGACTGCTCGCAAGACATTGTGAAAATGACGATGAACTGTTTCATTACTACGATAGTAATGAAGACACAGGGAAGTGTAGTTTCCACCAATGTGTCCTAGCAAAAACTTTGCTACTTGCTCCTCTACAGTGCTCCGTTTGTAGATGACGAACGGCCCAGTATTCCTCAACATCTCACATAATGCAGCAAATGCATGTGATCCCATTCTCAAGGTTGAACGACAGAATGTATCTTGGAGGGTTAGACGATCCATAAACTCTCGACATTTCCTTGCTCGGTAACTTTCATGTTGACCTAGTGGTCCATCAATAGCAGGTTGAAGACAATTTAACAAATATGGTGCATGAACAATGTAACATATTAGTGTAATCTCACAAGTCTTTCTTTGTCGTTGCCAATAATCCATGATTGTTTGCCAAGTTTGAAGTACTAGTATTCTATTCAAAGATATGAGATCTTCAGTGTCATCAATGTTACCCTCATTGTAAAAAACAGGGACATCATCTCCATTCAAGCTATGTGTTTCATTATCCATCTAAGCATGACACCAAAATTTGTTCCCCATTAAAAACAACTCACGAATGAGAAGAACACACCAAAATTTGTTCCCCGTTCAAAACAACCCACAAATGAACACACCAAAATAATGACAACCCATGAATGAAAGGAACCCACCAAAATAATGAAAACTCATCTGCTATTATCCTAATGCAATGGATACATATTAAAAATGAAAGGAAAGTTAATAATATATAATATCACATCTACTAATAAAACTAGCAGCCATAAAATACAAAATGAAGCATTCATCGGCCAAAATTAGAGGTGATAATTCTCAATCCAATCCACCAACCCATTAAAAATATACACCTAATCCAATTCATTGGATCCAGTCCATTTGATCCATGGATCAATCCATTTGCTACCTCTAGCCAAAATGAATGAAAGGCAAGTATAATAAATCCCATCTAAGAAACGAATCCTTCATACCGCATAACAAATGAAAAAAGGTAAGTATAATAATATGCCATCTACAAATATATGGATCACAATTAAATCCAATATTAGAAGCAATTAAAAGAGGGCAAGCATTCATCGGCCAAACACAACATGGAAGGAATTAGAGATTCTGGGTAAGTGAAAATCATGGAACGCGTTAGCGTGGTTACTCAATTTTGAGTAATCACGGTGGCTACCAATATCTGCACCCTTGATTATTAATATTTTAATCTATTTTTAAGTGTATGGTAAAGATTAGATTAAGGGTAATTACGTAAACAAAAAAGATATACACCTAATTACAATCTTTTAAAATATAAATTTATATATTATAGTAAAACCCTACTACCTCCTCTCTCTCCGGCACGACGACCTCCATCGTTCTCCAGCAGTCCTTATTCCCTCCCCTCCCGTTGTCTCTCCTGCCGCCGCCACCACAATCCCGTCCATTTTCCCTTCTCTCTCTCTCTCCACCTCCCTCCTCACCGCACACCTTCATCGCAACCTTCCCCTCCTTCCAACCTCCTCCACAAGACCACAACTACCACTGCCCGCAACGCCAAATCCATCTCCGACTACATCCCTCCTGCCAGCCACCCATACTTCCCAGCTCCCTTCGGTGGGATCCTCCTCCCTTTCCCTCACGCGCTCGGATGGCCGCTTTGAAGGCCTCTCTCTCCCCCATCAATATATTTTCATCGTAGACTTCCCGCCGAGCATTGAGATGGTTGCTTTGAAGGTTTCACTCACTCCCCTCGGAATCTCTCTCTCACACAAGCGGCTGGAAAGGTGGATGAATAAAAACCATAGATCTGATTTTTTTCGCATTGGTAGTGATTTTTTTTGTATATGTAGTGTTTTTTTGCATTGGTATTGTTTTTGTCGCATTGGTATTGATTATCATGTAATGGTATTAATTTGCATGTATTGGTATTGATTAAATCTGCAATGGTATTGATTTTTTGTGAAATGGTATAGATTTATATTGGTAGATTGTTTATATTGGTAGTTTTCGTGTAATGCTATAGATTTATTTCTGCAATGGTATTGACATTTTTCAAAGTGCTAGTAATTGTCTAATGGATTGGTAGTGATTTCGTGTTTTTTTTTCTTTGCAGAAAGATTGAGAAAAATAAGGAAAGGGGATCTGGCTAGAGATTATGGAAGTGAGAGAAAGAGAGAGAATTTTAATTAATAGATTCTTGTAAGTTATAACTACCTAAAATGTAATTTTATTAAAATAATTAATTAATACAGTTTATTTTTCATACCCAATTTACCCTTAGTAACCACGTTGATTACTACTTTTGTAGTAATCACCATAAGCTGTCCCTAAAAATCATGGATGAAGTTAGGGGTTTTATCATATTCACCTTCAATAAGAGCAGCGGCAAGTCGAGCAGTACGAATGAAGGTGGAGATTCGGGCAGGCAAGCGATTTGGATGGCAGAGCACCTCAGCAAAAAGGTAGATCGTGAGTGAGGATATCAGATAAGGAGGGAGATGAGGATGAGAAGACTCCGCCGACTGATTGAAGTCGACAAGCCGGAGCGGCCGAATTCAGAATCTGCTATCTGGAAATCTAGGGTTTACGATTTGTTTGGATAGAGTGGGGTTTTTTCGCAATGAATGGGGGAAGAGAGATGGAAGAAGAGAACAACTAATGGGAAGAGAGAAGGTCGTCTGTAGAGACAACAAATGAGAAAAGAACAAAAAAATAAAAAAACAGAATTAACCCCTTTAATGCACCCCTGTCACTGTTAATAAATATCCAAATAGGTGCACTTTTATTGGGAATACCCATTACCTCCTAAAATATGTACCCCCTCAATTTACCCCCCAAAACAAACACAGTGTAAGAGATTCGAATATATGACCTCCAGATTCAAGAACATGAGTATTACCACTAGACAAAGCCCTTGCTCACAAACTAATAAGATCCCGAGCTCGTGAAAGCTTAAGTTCTTTTGTCAAAGTCGCGCATCAACAATCAAGCTTGGATAGCTAAAATTGACCTTCAAAGTTCAAACAAACATAAAAATAAAGGGATGTGTGGAGATAGATACTCGCCACAATCCAGTGTGACCGCTTGATTGATAAGAGTCTTGCCAAACTCTTCTGGATTCTTCAACAAAAAAATTCAAACAAGGATCTTGCACTAGCTATGGAATCCACCAATAGCTAAAACAATAAACCATAAGCACGACGACTCCAAGGGGGAAACCACACATTGGTGTAAAATTCTTATTCAACAACTCTCTAACCCTAAAATTCGTGTTTACAACCCTTTAAATAGCTGTGAAAAATAAATCTAATGAAAACACCGAAAAGGGGGAAAATCCAAAACGAAAAAGGTAACAAAACTCGTCAGGGATCCCCGATCGGGGATTTAAGTGCACTAGTCAGAGGTCATTCTGCTTGAATTCCCCTGTCATCCTTACAATTCCTCGGTCGGGGAATTCTCTAATTCTAGGCGGGGAGTGGGGGAAATAGAATCACATCAGTCCCTCCCCATTGAAGAAGCTTCGCCCTCAAAGCTTTCATGTCTGACTTCCAAACGAAATTCTCTGCACCGTCATCAAAAAGAAACTAACAATCTCCACAATTTCATGGGATCAAGAGCTCAACTAGCTCGACAAACACGAGCTCTAGTCCATGAACTTTGAAGTGCCCGTTGTCATTCAATCTTAGAATTGAACGTCAACGTAAGAATGATTAGTTTTCGCAGAATGGACAAGATCAATTCCACTTCCTCCAGGATCGATACAGTAGGTTTGTATTGATAGATTCTCATTCCATGGGGTAGTAGCATCCTCATTCAATCCTTCTGATTTAGCCTTGGCGCACAGAAACTCCAAAATCTGGCAGTGTCTTGATCTTCATTGGCGGCAATAAAGGCTTCACTGGCTAAGCTTGTAATGGCTTGTCCTCCTCTTCGTCCTTGTTCGCTTCAAAAACCTCACAGTTTGATAGCGCCAACTTCGTTTAATAATCCTCTAACTCAACGTCGACTTCCTCAAAATTCAAACTCTGTTGCACAGGAAAACTCGACCTCGAACTCGATTCCTGCTCTGCCATGGTTTGAAGCAAGCCTCCCATCTGCACCATCAGTGCTGCAAGCGGTTCCATGGTTTCCTGCTCTGCTTCATACTCTCGCTATAATCGTTGCAAAGTCTTCCAATCATCAACAGCCTCCTTCGAGGATAAAGGTTTCAAAACGAAAACCTTCTTCTCATGCTTCTATCGGAAGCTTTTGGATCTTCTGCTAACTAGATGATCCACGACCTTGGAACCATATTTGTCCCAACATAATCTGATTTGTAAGTTTGGACACCACGTTGCACAATACCTTGTCTTCATATTTACCAATTGCAAACTTCAGAGAAACCTATCCAACCACGATGCTTGAAATCTTCTCGCCCGGAAACTGTAGAATGTATGGAGCTGGATGCAGATGCCTTGATAGCCCCAATTTCTTCGTTGTTCTTGCACTCATCAAATTTGATTTGATCCCTCCATCTACAAGCACAGAAAACACCTTCTCTTGAACCAAACAATGAGTATATAACATTTACCTTGCTCTATCTCTTTCGCCATCGCTTGATATGTTCTTCTCCTTGCCACTGATTTTGAACCAGAAATAAATAAACCAAAATCCAAGATATCTATGTATTCTTTGCTTTTTCCCCCTTTCTTTCAACCGATGTTCAGCTTTGTGGCTGATGAACACATTTTTTTATTCCACTTTTTTCTTCTTCTCATGAGCATTAACCTAAATCAATTTTTTTGTTTTTTTTCCCGTGAACAGAAAACGAAATAAAAGTACCTCTTTCTTGTCACTTAGTTTGAACGGGGCTCTGATACCACCTGATAAGATCCCGAGCTCGTGAAAGTTCAGGTTCTTTTGTCAAAGTCGCGCAACAACAATCAAGCTTCAATAGCTCAAATCGACCTTCAAACAAACATAAAAATAAAGGGATACGTCGAGATAGATACTCGTCACAATCAAGTGTGTCGCTTGATTGATAAGAGTCTTGCCAAGCACTTCTGGATTCTTCAACAAAAAAACTCAAACAAGGATCTTGCACTAGCTATGGAATCCACCAATAGTTAAAACAATAAATCATAAGCACGACGGCTCGATGTGAAAAACACACCTCGGTGTAAAATTCTTGTTGAACAACTCTCTAACCCTAAAATTTGTGTTTCCAACTCTTTAAATAGGTCTGGAAAAAATAAAACTAATGAAAACAACAAAATAGAAAAAGAATCTTAAACGAAAAAGGTAACAAAACTCGTTAGGACCAAAGCCCTGGTCTCAATCCCCAGTTGGGGATTTAAGTGCAATGACCGAGGATCATTCTGTTTGAATTCCCTAGTTATCCTTACAATTCCCCGACTGGGGAATTCTCTTAGTTTGGGCGGGGAAGTGGGGGAAACAAAATCACATCACGAACTTTCAAAGATATTCGTTCCCAACAATTCAGGATTGTGAAGTGCATAGATTAGTGACCGTTTGAAAGTCACCATGATGCACCCCAAAAGCAAAATCTTTTGAAAGTAGATACAAAGCAGACAATATTTTGATCAAGAAAATTATTGAAATGTTAAAACTTAATGGTAGTATCAAAGCCTCGCTGCTTCCCTCTTGAGAGATGGTCCCTCTTGAGAGATGATGAAGCAAACATCAAAGATGACGTTGAATCCCAAAAGAGCATGTATGTAACAAAAGAGCATGTATGTAACAATTTATACAAATCTCATATCAACAAAATACACGAGATTCAGACCATTCAATCTTAATTAACAAGACACTTTTTGGCATTAGGTTAAAAACCCCTCTCCCCCTGTTGTGTTTAACCAAGAGGCTCTCTATCGTTTGTTTACAAACCCACCCCGAAAGCCCAGTTTGGCGTTAGCATCGACAAAGAAATAAGAACGCCAGCCGGGATATCTTTTTCCCTCTCGTATGGTAACTAATAGTTTCCATATGTACACATTTTTTGTGGTTTATCAAGAATGTGGCTGAAGCTTTCTGGCCCGCACGTAGGTTAAAAACTGGCTGGGTAGTTCTGCTAGAAGTTCTTGGACAACAGAGATCCCTCCTCCATCTGCAAGATAGAAATTTGATGGTCGATCGATCCGGTCCATTCTTAAGTAAAGAAGCTAGTTGGATTGGGCGAGGTGAAAAAACTACATAGATTTCTTACTCTGTACATCCCGCAATGGTACAAACTGAACTATATCACGTGTAGCAACGCGACCGGTTGTGCTTTCAAGTCTTTCTCCTTTATCACCGTCTAAAATCTGCGCACGCAGTTGCAATAGTACACAACTCAACCCTGATTTTATGCGGTAAGAACGAGTTGTCTCGTACAATACAAGCCCTATACATAGTGAAACAAAGGTACATACCTCCATTTCTTTGAAGTCAGCTCCTCCAACGCCTACAATAAGGATGGAGAGCGGAAGGTCGGATGCTTGCACTATGGCATCTTTCGTCTCTTGAAGATCCGTTATGACCCCATCCTACAAAATCACCATGGAATTAGAGATTTGGAGAAATTAAGAAAAGATACAAAAATTCTCTATCAGAAAACAAACACCACTTTAATGGTTTTGGTATTCCTTTGCGGACATAAACGAAATTGAATCCAAAGATGCACAACTTATCAAGATATATCATGGAATGATTGAACTCTGCAAAAGTTATGCTAGAACCAAAGGAGCTCTAACTAACTAACTAAATGATTGATTGATCAATCATCCAGGTACTAGTGGACTCCTTACCGTAATGATCAACAAAACGTAGTACTTTCTCCCTCCATTTTCAAGGGATTTGCTCGCTATGGTTGCGGCTTTAGTGATAACAGGCCCGAAAAGGGTGGGCCCTGCAAAAGAAACATTGTAGAGAGCACTTGAATATGCCATCAAAATTCCATGGAGCCCCTCCACCTGAAAAAGAAAACATAAAGCAAACCCAGCATTCTTAGCACGGGTTATGAAATGAAAAATACACCCTCGATGCAACAAAAGAAGAACAGTGACTGACCTCATGGTTGTAGTTGCTGCCATTCAAGTTAAAGCAATGAGAGACAGGACCGTCAATTGGCCGTGCTCCAAATCCCCAGGCAGGAAATCGTTTATCTGAATCGTAAAACTGCAACACCTCTCCAACCTCCAAGATCGCCTGAAAAGGTTTGACAGCTTGGGTGATATAGATGACCAGCAAAAGAAAACATAGGAACAGTTAAATCTACACGATCATTCTCTTACTCTCTGGTATGCATTTGGCCGAGTTAACAGATCCATATTGTGGGAGGGATCGATATAGTGCAAAGAATCAGGGAGTCGAGGATTGCCATTTGAAGCTAACATATGAGAAAAGAGAACACGCAGAATCAGAAAATATTGAATCACATAGTGTACCATCTTAGTATCTCTTTTGAGATTTAGCATCCATGTATCTCTAATCTTAAGCTTAAAATGATGGGACATGTAATGGTGGAAATTCTACAGCGCCGAACATAACAAGGCAATTACAACTGCTGCACGCATTCAAATTCTCTTAAAAAGGGTTGTCAAAGTGACAAGCCCCTTTGATACACACAGGTGAACCTCTTTACCAAATAAAACAGCACAAGTGAACATAAAGTTCATTCACTTTTACCATCCTTATCAATGCAAAAACAAATACTAAATAGCAAGAAAAAAAAAAAAAAACAAGAAATGAAGGCGGGTTTTTTCATAACGAGGAACCTTGCCGCATACATCTAAGGCTACCCTGGAAGAATGAAGTCAGGTTATTATTATGTTGCAAAAACCTATAGATCATGCATACTGCTACTATATCAGTTTTATTGGGTTCAACGCTTACTTTTGTTGGGTCATTTCATACATTTTATAAGCATGAACCAGCTTGAAAGAATCCTTAAATCCAATTCATTCAGATTTCAGATCCATACATGATTAGATTCCTATAGATTTCCGCTTCAGATTGTAACATACATTTCCTGTATTTCCAAGTAAGGCTATTGATGCCCTTCATTCTTCAGATGTTAAATAAAAAGCAGGTACCTGTGAAATCAACAGCCACCATGAAGTTCAGTTCATATCCTCCTCTCAGATAATCAAGAAAGGTATGTTGTATACTCTCTGAGAACTTGTCCACGCAAAGCTGGCTCTTAAGCACCTGCTTTCAAAAGCAAAATGTTGTAAAAATGTGATCATTGGAATGAATGGCAATAACAATATTAGCATTCTGATCTAGTTAATGTCAAAGAGACCTTAGTACTTCGATTATGCCCAACTTCTAGAAAAGACAAATAAAGTCCTTCCTGGCTAGAACAAAGCTTTTCCAACCCTGCTAGTGAGATTTGAACTTGTCTGGTAACAAACAAATGAAAAAGTACTGTCAGCATTCATGCATTTAGAATTACAAACAAAGGTCCCAAGGGGAAGGTAGAAGGAAAGCTCTACTTACCCAATCAAATCATGTTTGCCACTACTATTGAAGTCAAAGCACTGTATGAGCAATGGACTGTCCTGCAGGTTTCAAGCAATACAATGTTAAGAATACATATTCAAAGAGGGGCAGATATTCGTCTATATAACTATCCTACTTTTGCACTGAACAAAGGTTCTAACAGATTAAAGGGACAGTTCTCCATCTACACGACCAGATGCCAGTATTTCCTACTTGCAAAATTTGAACATTCAGAATGTCCTTTCTATGTGATAAGTGGCAGATACACACTTCTGCAGCTTTCCGTCAGAAAGTAGAATGCACAAGTATTGAGTTTAAAAAGTAGAGAAGGATGTAGTTGCCTTTGAAAACATTGTCATTCATTGTATCAAGCAACCGAAACTTAGCTCTTGAAAATTGAACCAATAATAAAAGGGCTGGATCCTCCTGAAACGAAGGTTGAATGGAGTGATAAGACAGTTGCAGTCTAGTTAGTATACAGAAACGACATAATGTGCTTACCTTGCTTCCAACTTGCTGAATGTTCAAGGAAATTGGTTTCCAGATAGGGTTGTGATCATTCTTTATCACCTCTGTTTTACACACAACAACTGGCATCCCACCCTCAGTAACTCTTGATATTGACAGAAAAGGATCCTGCAGATGATTGTATGTTTCATTGTATAATTTACATTTCAAGATATCAGATGAAAGAAAGAGAAACAACTCAGAGTAGTCCGTACACTTTTTGAGAACAGATCCTTGCTTTCCAAGTCTGAACACCTTAATGTCATCTCTGTAGTAGTCTTTGAGCTAATGCATTCCTCAGCATGCACAATAAGCTGTCCACTGCTTCGAGGATGGCCTAGATCTTCTATTTGTACAAGATTTAAGGTCAAGGTCCTGTCTGGCTTGGCCACAATCTATGGAAAGAAAGATAATGACAAGATGGTTTATAACTAAAGCAACTACATAAAACCAATTGGCTGTTTAGAAGAATCTGAATCTTTTAGCAAAGCAAACAACATTTTTACATTCCAACTTTCCAAATCCACCAGATTCCTAAATATTTATAAATCTAGTTATCAAAAAAATATGAAGTACATATTAACGTAAACTTGACCAATATTATGCTATACCTGAGACAATATGGATGTGGCTTCACCAAGAAATTGTTGTTCCTCTAGCTTAAGCGTCTGCCATGATCAATCAAATCCATGGTCAATTACAGACAACGTTCAAAAGGAGCAAGGCGTATGGCGGGCGTGGGGGCCTCGCCTAGCGTCTAGTTCGCCTAGACGTCGCTTAAGAATACTTAGGAGTTAAGCAAAAATACAGTTTGCAGTAAATGATGAATGAAATAGCAATTTACATCAGTTTTTCACTTCAGTTAAAATTAGTAATAACTTACTTAACACTTAGCAATAAGAAAATAGCTCACAAGTCATAGAATCATAGCTCAATAACTCACAAAGTTCTTGACCTATTGAAAAGATTGAGAGAGAAGATTGAGTTTGTAGATTATGTGAATTTCCTTCTTTTGATATTTATTGTCTAGCTTCGCCTAATTAAACCTAGGTGTCGCCTTACTACACCGCGTTCAGGATACATAACTCGACATGAAAGCACAAGGGAGGCATTTTAGCTTTACCTAGTGCCTAGGCACGTCTAAGCGTAAGATTAAGTGCACCTTTTTTAACCCTGCAGACAAGTTGAGCTTATAACTTCGTCTCTCAATTCTCTCTAATGCCTCATAAAATATTAAGCTATTATGACTTTCTCTTACATTGACAAAAAGAGAAACACTTAAATGGTCTAATTGCAGGGAACAAGTCGATTACAATTTGAAATTCAACTGAGAGCACTTTTCACTCTACAATAATGAAAAAGTGGTTTTGTCATTTCGTAGAACAGTGACCCCGACTCAGAGTCCTTCAATCTTTAGGTGGTAATCGAATCTAAACATATAGCCACATTAACCGATGGCCGGTTGTTGAAAGTTTCAGCAATCAGGAACAAAGTAGACACAACTTACATCCATACCTTAACATCCACGTTGTGAAATTGAGTGTCAATGTCATATACGCGAAACCTGTAGTACATTGTCCACACTAATGTTAACTTGACCAAATAACCGTGATGAAGATGCATGTGAAACAAAATTTGAGAGACGGATGAAACTTACAACAGAGTTTGAACAACTTCAAACTGGAATGTGACTGTATATTTTGCGATCCATGACGGATTCAAAGAATTGAGCACTACCTCGGTACGGAAAGCTTCAGTAAGGGCTCCATCTCTTCCTTTCGTATAGACAACCATCATAGGATCACTCTAAAGCAAGTAAACTTCTACAGTAAGAAACTGAAGGTACAAAATAGAATGATAAAAAAAAAACCAACACCAAAACTATGGAGCCACTGCCAAGACCAAAACCAACTAGCATAGTTATTCCATGATGATGAGACATGCAAATTTTATCGGCATTCAAGAAACTAAATGCTTAAGGAGTCTTAGCATCAAATTATATGTCCCTCATTTTGGTCCAGCCTTGATGCAATGAATTACCACAAAGACAATAAACCACGAACATCACATTGGCTACCTGGAGTAGTTAATTTTTCATACAACTGAAAGCAGTCGAAAACTAATGCTAGAAAGCAGCCATCTTATTGGTGAAGTTTTAACTTAGTTATATACCTATTGGACAACATTGTGAAATTTAGGGCAAAGAGCGGTAATGCAGAAATCTGGGCATACAGTGCAACCATTTCGTAGATCCACGATCCATTGAATTGCACAAAATTTTCATTTCGAGAGTAGAAAAACAACATAACAGAACAACTGAGCATTCCTAAAAATAGAAGGGGAAAAGAAGTATCACGCTGACCTTGGAAATCATATCCCGGTCGCGCAAGTTGGTTGCAGAAAAAGATAACTGCAAATGCAAAATAGCAAGCGAGATCAGTTAGTGTAGAGAAATCTCATATTTCATCTTCGCTTAATCCACTCTCTGTTTTCCGGCAATCACATCATCAAAGGGCAACAACTTTCTCTACTAAGTTCCGTCCCAATCATGCACTCCAACTCATGAGCAAGACAGACCTCAATCTCGCAAACAATTAGCTCTATAGCGATTCTGAAATTCAAAAAAAGGAAAGAGAACGGGCACAGAGACAGAGCAAACTTCTCCAGCTAGCTACGTTTTGAAGCTGACTTAAACATTTCATGTCCGTGAGAAGAAAAGCGAAAAGAAAGAGGCAGGGAGTAGAGGAGAGAGGGCAAGGACCTCGATCTGAGAGAAGAGTCCCTGGAAGCCGCGGTACCTGAGGAACTCATCAACGGCATCATTAGCACCGCCGCCGGTAGCCGAAGCACCAGTACCGCCAAACGCCGACCTGCCGCCGGCCTCGTCAGAGCAGCAGTTCCCCATTCTTCACGAGTTCCTCGTTTTCACCAAAGCACAGCTCGTCGGAGCGCTAAATCGTCGCGAAGACTAATCTCTGGGGCGGGCAGAGCAAACCAAAGACTAAGATAGTGGTCCCCACATACCTCTTCCTCTTTTTCTTTTGGTAGAAACTTCTTCTTCCTCCTCTAACGCGTCCGTCGAAAGCGCGTTTGGCTTCAACATCCCGTTGACACGATGGATCAAGCTTGTCAACCTGCGGGTCGACCCGCGGGTTGACCCACTTCAACTCTGATCCGGTAAGAAAAATGGGCCGCACGTACCCGTAAGGTCGATCGATACAAGGTACCGGGTTTGAATTCAAATTGTGTCATTTTTTCTTTGATTTGCGAAATGCGCCTATTTTCCGATTTTTCTTTTCGTCTAACTCAATCTTTGGAATCCTAAGTTGAACATTTGAATATTGATGTTATGTAAGTGTGTGTGAATTTTCACTATATGTTGGATATAAGTACGACATGTTATTTTGGTGTAATATTATATGTTATAACTCATATGTTAGATGAGATTTGAAATAATTTATCAGGATAAGTACAATATAATGACTCTTTCCATATTTCCGGGCTAAACTGGGCTAAAACGGGTGACCCATTAACTCTTGACCCACTAGCTCGTTCGGGTCAGCCTGAGAGTTGACAAACTTGCGATGGATGGATTGGTTATGTCCAAGGTTGATAAATCCCCCTATCATACCTCCAGTTGGACCCAATCCGATCTAATTCGGGGTTCAAAACGATCTGCAGAAAGTCATTCGGTCTTGACCCCTAAAGAGGAAGAAAACAAGAGGAAGAGGAACGAAGGAAGGGAGATTATTAGGGCTGCAAATGAGTCGAACAGCTCGCAAGCGGATTGACACTCGACTCGGAAAAAAACCCATTTGAGACTCGACTCGTTTATTAATAAGTCGAGCATGAGTTAACCCTTGTTCAGCTCGCGAAGCTGGTGAGCTAGCTCGAATCGGTGGCTTGTTGGGCTAAACTCGTGAGCTGGCTCGTTTAGAGCTCATGAGATGTCTCACATTGTGGCTAGAGAGTCAACTAGATTACCGACTTATAGGCGGATCGATCTATATCTTATGAGTTTAATTCATATGATTGTTAAATTATATATCTCGCTCTATATGAAGTTTAACACATTAAGTATGTGAGCATATAAATTTTTTTGTTTAAAAAAAGATTTTATATGATTATATCACATATTGCTTCGATACTGTTAAATAACATGATTTGGACTATTTTAAATTTATTAACTGCATAATATGATATCAACAAAGTATAATATGAGATTAGTTAATATTGAGCATTTTATTATTATTATTATTTTCATCATGACATCAATCACATGTATCATACATGACATACAAAATGAAATATCAAATACAACTCAAGATTTTACTAAACAAGTCTAGTTCAAACTCGACTCGGCACGTTAATAAATGGCTCGACCTCGAGCTCAGCTTGTTTATTAACGAGTCAAGCTCAACCTGGGGTAAAGCTAGGCACGACTCGACTCATTTGCAGCACTAGAGATGATGGGTGGGTTATCAAGGTTAGATAGATTTATTTTTTAAAAAATAAGTTTTAATAGATACATGTAAGATAAATTCCCTTTCAGTCATTAAATCCTTAATCACTACCTTATTTGTATGTATATTTAGACCATTAAACGGCTCAAACCGGGCGGCCGAACCATGATCAGACCATTAAACCTCAAACCCCTTACTTGACTGGCCCAATGACTTAAACCGATTTGGCAACCTTGGTTATGTCACTTGCTTTATACCCGGTTGGTTGGCCAGAACCCTATAAGTCATCTATATACATATTTAACTCGTAATAGATGAGCAAGACGATGAGCAAATGTTTTTTTATGAATTGATATCGAAAGTGTGAAGAGTGCATTATATATATATACTATACTTCACGGTGATATTCGGGGTACCGCATACTTTGAGTATGAAATCGTTATTCGTCCACCCAAATCCACCTTTCTTCAACAAATCTGTAAGCAGCCTGGCGACGGTACTATAATTTTTAACGAACTTCCTATAGTAGCCGTTAGCCCTAAGAATCCCCGCAAGGCCGTAATTAGGGGTGTCAAAATGGGTTCGGGTTTTCGGTTTAACTCGAAACCGAACCGAAAATGAAACTTGATGGGTTCGGGTTCTCGGTTTCAACCCGAAAGTGTGATGCTCCGGTTTCGGTTCACTTTAACCCGAAAACCGGTAAGGAACCGAAAAACCAAATGTTGCTTAGTTATACGCTGTCGTTTTCTGTGTAGGGAATAAAATCTCTCAGATGGAAAGAAATTAATCAGCTCTGCCCAAAAATTATTCCATCCCCATCATCCAAAATGGAAGATCTCGAAGGCGACGATCTGAATCTCAGCTTGTCCATCCCCGTCCGTACGACGGATCGTCGCACCGACAGCGGCGGCGGGGGATAAAGAGGAAGCGATCGCCGCCGTTGCCGCTGCTGTCGACCTCATCATCGTCGACGACGACGGACGGCAGCCCGAATCACGACGGCGGAAACATCAAGGGGAAGATCTTCCGTCTCCTCCAAATGCGCGAGCAGATAATCAAGCGGCCGCGAACTGACATGACCCATCATCGGAAATCTCCTCCGCCAGCAGAGGACGAAAACGACGGCGGGAGCAAGGAGGGACTCCACCTGATACACTCGCTCCTCATCGCCGCCACGGCGGTCGACGAGGGGAACTCCGATTCCGCCCTCTAGAACCTCGCTGATCTCTACCGGACCGTGTCGCTGGTGGGCGTCTCTGTTCAGCGGGTCGTCGACTCGTCGCCCACTTCGCCAACGGATTGTACAAACAAAAAAATATAAAATTCAAATTACAAAAGCATTAAAAAAAATTAAACCGGTTCGGTTTTGGGTTCACCCGCACCCAAACCGCCAGTGTTATTTTCGGGTTTTTGAACCCGCAACCCGCAAAACAAAGGCTCGGTTTCGGGTTGTGGGAGCCGGTTTCGGTTTTTCGGTTTTTGCGGTTTTTGCGATTTTCGGGTTCGGTTACCCGACCCGAACCGAACCGACAGGCCTAGCCGTAATCTTGGTCGGCGTAGGCCAATCGAGCATGGCCGCTACCTTCCCCTGGCCTACTCATACTCCTGTATCTGATATGATATGACCTAGATATTCCAACTCCCTGAGGCCGAATGAACACTTAGCCATTTTGAGATAATAACTCTATTGTCGTAGAATATCCAAAATGACCCTTAGATGTTCCAAATAAGATGCCCAATCTTTGCTATATACCAAAATATAATCGAAGAAGACTAGGACTACCTTTTGAAGCAGTGATCGAAATATATCGTTTATGGCTGCTTGAAATGTGGATGGTGCATTGAATAGTCCAAATGACATTACTAAATATTCATACTAACCATTACGTGTTCGGAATGTCGTCTTGTGAATGTATTCCAGTACTGACTCACTCCTAATGTCACTCTAGAAAATGGCCAAGTGTAACCACTTCCTAAAGCGTAGTATAGCGGGTTTGGGTTTAATGTCAACCCGGGTCCTAGATGTGATGACTACTCAGTGAATTCTTATTATCTAGCGGTGAAACTTTAGTGCAGGTTCAAACAAGCAAACACAAAGCAAGGTAAACGGTTGTTTCAAGTCGAGAGAGGTCACCCGGATATGGTTCCCCCTAGACTGCAGTTAAGCCGGATTGCAATTTACCAAGTTCAGTTTCTATGATAGTTATACTGCGGAAGGTTCTTAAATAGTCTGAAGTCTCGACTAAAGGTCTCCAGACCCTCTCAACCTGAGTCCCCAACGGGCGACTAACCTCCACTGGAGTAAACAGGTTGAGGCCCTAACGAACCAAACCTCCACTACCGAAGCAAATTCGGTACAGAATAGTGAACTGGCTCCTCGACTAAAGTCGCTAATTCACTACCTTCAACTAAGGGCGCTCTATTAACCTAGGCATATATTCTCATTCTAGGCTAAAGCAGAAACAACAGGAATTTGATCAGGATTCAAGTCATTCAATTATTCAAGCCTCAATTGAATATAATCAAATCACAAAATCTGCATTTGGGTTCTTACAATCAGACCTAACAAACAAATCTAGAGTTCTCCATACCCAGATGAATGGGGAAACTACTCCATGGAGAGAGAAGCAAAAGCAGATTCAGATGCGGAAATCATACTATGAAGGATGGATTTCTGCTCCTGGTTGTCGATCGTCACTTCTCCAAGCTCAAGCCGGGCTCCAATAGTGATGAAGATCAAGCTAGGGCACTTTGGAACTCTTGTTCGTCGCTTTCTCTCTCTAGGAATCGATCTGTCTCTCTAAAACTCCGAACCCTTGATTTTTAGCCTTCTTTTCCCTTAAGAAGCTGTTTGTCGCGATCCCCGGTCGAAATACCCGACCGGGTATTTTGGGTGTCGACCGGGTATATTCAAAACGTGCGTTTAGGAACAGGGGAAAATCCCCGGTCTGCTCTAATAATCCCCGACCGGGGATTTATGCTTCATGACCGGGACCCTCTCTGTTTCTCAACGATGCCCAAAGCGTCAAATCCCCGGCCATGGCCAAATAATACCCGGCCGGGTATTTCTGCTCATGGCCGGGTATTTTTCTGCTCCATCACACTTCGACCCAAACTTGCTCCTTTCGACCCGAAACTCGTTCCTTCGCCTCGATGCCAACGCTAAGCCCTGAAATATGACATAAACGCACAACCTAGCGTGAAATCGGCTTAAAACACGAGAATCAATGTCTCAAACGGCTAAAGAATAGGGGTAAAAACATGTGTAATTAATGGTCTATCAAACTCCCCCACACTTAACCGTTTGCTTGTCCCCAAGCAAACCAAGTCAGACACAAGGTAGCTCAAAATGTTTCAATCAAGCAGGCTTTAGGGCACATCATATTGGCACAAAACACGTGGATCATACTAGCTTTTGATCCTTAACACATGGACAACCTCAACGACAACCTAGACAACCACCACAGATGACATTCGAATGCAATAAAGTCGAGCAAAGGAAGAGTCTCCCTTCTGTTCACCAACCAACATAGACTTGACTCAACCACTTATTCCAGACAGTCACTTCATGCACAAAGCTCAAGATATCAGAATTAAGACCGAGCAATCTAGGTCCTCACCGGGATAAAGAGTATAGAGAATATGAGAAAATGAATCGCTCACTCTCGACCAGTGGGTCAGGACAATTTGATGCGAAAAATGCGCATGCTTATTCTCTCAATCCCTAACGTCTCTTCACCATGAATGCAGCCTCTAAATGCTAGAGTTCACATATGGGGTGTCACCACTAACTAATCCGGAGGTCTTAGACACAGGTTCAGATGACTGGCTAGGGTCTTGGACATGGGGAAAAGGCCTTTTAGGGGGTGGAAGTATTCATAGCACAAGGTTCCACAATTCCAAACCCAACACACTCACAGTCAATCAAACCACTCCTTCTTTCTGCCATTCTGCATTACTCATTTTCTTTAAAGCACAAGAGAGAAGGAGGTAACAAAAAAACGTAGTATTTCCAAGCCACACTGCTAAGAAACACTACTCAATGGGCGCTATTCAGATTTTGTGGTGGTGGCTCTCTTTTGCTTTCATTCGCTTCTTTTTTTTCTTTTTTCTTCATTTCTTGAGAGAACCACCACCTATGCACATTTTTGAAAACACATGCCCTTTTCATTTTTTCAAGAACTACCTCCAACTCTCACATTATATTAAGCAGAAATAGCAGAGAACATGGAGAAACCACTCTGTGGAACCTTCTAAAAGATGCAAAAGGGGGGTTATCCATTAGACCAAAAGAAAGGATAACACACAGCTCAAAGGGCTGACTAGGGGGTATGACAAATCAGGACAGTCAATTTGGTCATGGGCTAATCCTATGCCTCCATCATCTTAGCTAATGACAACGTGAATGCTGCACATCATGGAAGAGGGAACTATCGCACAAGAAAGAAACGAGAAGGCTCAAGTCTCACATGGCTACTGATAGACCGTCATTTACACATGTTTTTACCCCCATTCTTACACCGTTTGAGGTGTTGATTCTCGTGTTTTAGGCCGATTTCACGCTAGGTTGTGCTTGTTTGTGATGTTTCGGGTCCTAGTACGTGAATGAAGGCTTAGGAGCGAGTCTGGGGTCGATTGGACGAAGAACGGACGAATGGCGAGGTTTTTGGGGAGCTGCACGGGCAGACCAGGGAGGCTGCACGGCCGTGCACGTGAGCAATATGGCCGTGCGCCTTATGCCGAGGACACGCACGGGCAACCCCTGAAACTCGCACGGCCGTGCACCCTGGCCGTGCGAGAGGGCTGAAGTTCGACTAAATGACACGCTGTGTTTTGAGTTGCACGGCCAGAATGGTGATATGCACGGCCGTGCACCCTGGCCGTGCGAGTCGGGAAATCTGGTTTTAGAGCCTATTCCGAGCAAAAAGGAGGGAGATCGATTTTCTTGAGCAAAAACAGAGCCCTAGAGAGAGAAAGTGCGAAGAACTCACCCTAGAAGCCATCTTGGAGCTGGATTTCATCAATTCAAGCTTGGAGATCGTCCTAGGAGTGGAAATCATCATCCTGGAGCAGATCTTCCTCATCATTATGAGTATGACTACTCCGATTACTGTTTTCTTTTCTCTCTCTATGGAGTAGAACCTCTCTCTCACTTGGGGATGAAGAACCCTAGTTCTATGTGTTAGGGATTGATTGTAATGACTTGGGATGATATTACTGTTTGATTTTAATCGATTGAGACATGATTTATTGAGTCAATTGAATCTTGATCAAATTTTCTTGATTTCTGCTTTAACCTATGATAGATAGAATCTGATTAGGTTAAGAGAGCTTCCTTGATTGATAGTGGTGAATTGGTTGTGCGAGAGTCAATCAATTTACTGCTTTGTACTGGAATCTAATTCCAGTAGTGAACTTCTGTTCTTACTGCTTCAGCTTTCTATCCCGGTGAAGACTAGTCGTCTGCCGGGTAGTTAGACTGAGAGGGCTTGGTCAGCTTAAGAGATTCCAAGCTACTGCCGGATCTTCCGCAGTCTAATCAACAGTAAATCAACCCAGGGTAAATTGCAATTGAAACCTAACTAAAGAGCTAGGGGGATTCATTCCCGAGTGACTCTTTCCTGCTTAAGAAAACCGATTAATTTCCTGCTTTATTTCTGCTTTTAGTTTAAACAACAATCACTTACTCTAGTTGGCTAGATAACAGAGAATCACTGAGTAAGCAGTAGATCTAGAGCCCGGGTTGATAATATAACTTGCCTGTTACTGCATTCCCGGTTTGCGATTACACTTGGTCGCAGATTGGTGTTGTGTTTTGGCGTGTCAGCTACCTATATGCTCTATCTCTCGTTCTGATTCCCTGACCTAGATGCATAAATGACTGTCAAAAGCAAGTGATCAATCCAAGTCACAGTTGGTAAGCAAACAGTTGAAAAACTGAACCCCTACACAGTTCTACTGCACATCTCAGTCATCATAATAAGCTGTCTTAGTCACACTCAAGTTGTCATGCATTAAGTCAAAAGCCATTCAATTCACTAATCACATCCACATTGCCAATACGATCAAACATCAAGCAGACAACAGTGCTTGGAGCCCTCAAATCTCGAGATTTGGACAGTGGACTAGGCTCCAAGCACACAAACAGATCTAACGCAGTCAAAAGAGAAACATCTCCCCCACACTTAAGATCGATATTGCCCTCAATGGAGAAGAGGGAAAGATAAGGGGAACGATGTTACCGGTATGCACGGACTGCATGAGACTGGAAAGGGACCAGGTTGAGTGAAGCGGACTGGAGAAGGACCAGTCAGGGACACAACACAGCTAAAGGGAACAACAGAACTCAAACACAGTACGTTAGTTCCAATGGTCAGCCCAATAGTATATCATCCAAAATCGAAAGAAAGAAAAGAAAATAAACCAACACACAAGACAGTTCGCATTCTGACAGAAGGGAAACAACACAAAATGGGCTACGAGCACAGCCTACTCGAGCTCGGTGAAGTCAATCTGGGCCATGAGATCGTCGCCCCCCTCTGGTGGTGGTGATGGTGATGGTGGTCGCGGTGGCGAGTGATCCCATCGGGTGGTCCAGTGGTGCTCCTCCGGTGGATGACAAGTCTGGAGCAGGTGCTCCGAGTACTCCATCAATCGGCGGCCACGATCCCGCTCCCGCTCGATGAGAGCACCAGTGACTCCCATCTGGGCCTCCATCCGGTCGAGGCGCTCGTCGACAACCGTCAGCCTGGACTGGTACTCGGCCTGGTGGGCCGAATACTGCTGGTAAAACTGGACCTGATGGTCCATGAGCTGCTGGTTCTGAAGACCGAGCTGCTGGAACAGGAGCCCCATTTGTTGGAACTGCTCTATGAAAAAGTCCATCAACGGGCCAGAAGCCATCGACAGACCAGAAGGACCGGAGGAGGACTCGGCTCTCTATAGTCTCCGTCATGGCCGAAGGTCCCTTGGTGGAGAGAGTGGGGGTTCCGGCTCATCAGCATCCATGGCCCCGCCATCATCATCATCATCCTCCTCATCATCCTCCTCATCGGTGTAATCAGCATCCTCCTCGTCCTCATCGAGGTCCGCATCCTCCTCATGGGGCATGGAGAGCCCATCCACCCAGGAACGGGTGCCGTCAGTGGCCAGGAGGAGTGCATTGTGAAGCATGTCCAGGCTGAGGGGGGCGGAGCCGCCCTGGACAGTAGAATCGGTGAGGTCATCAAAGCTGATGTCGAAATGGCGCGCCAAGCAGGTGATCAGGGGACCACAAAAGAGATGGTTGGGCTTCCCGTGGCATCGAGAGAAGGTGGTAGCCACGAAGGAACCCAAATGCAGCATGTGATCCGGGTCCCCCATCGAGTACATGGCGTACAGTACCCGCTTCGGGATCTTGTGGGAGCCAGTGACGTTGGGGACGATGGATCGGGTGATGAGCAGGTTCAAATGTGCCACTGCGGCTTGAGGGTGCGAACAAATGTCTGGCCAGCGTCGAAGTAGTCGAACCCATAGGCGCGCCGGGCAATCCGCCGGTAGAACTCATCCATGTTCCAGTATGTCGGGTTCGGGACCTCGACCTCGTGGCGGGAGGATGGGTGGTACTGGATCCCCATGGCGTAGGCCACCCCATCTATAGTCAGCTCCCGTGGGCGGCCACCCAGCCTGAATGTGACCGCGTAGGAGTCCCGGGCTGCCTTGGGGCGGTACTGAAACGTGGTGTAGAGCTCCCACACCGGCTCGGTGTAGGTGGGCTCCTCGATCGTCAGCAAAGTTCGCCAATCCCGGTGGCTGATGGCGAAGGAGAGCTCTTGTATGCAGTGAAGCTGCTCGAAAACTGCCTACTCCAGATGGTGGTGGCGCTCCAGTTTCCCTTGGATGACCTTGCGGAACTGGTCCGCGTAATCATGGTGCAGGTGCAGGTCCTGCACAAATGGATGGTCTAGTGACATGCTCCTGCAAAATTAGCAAACCAAAGGTGGAGCCAAGAAAAACTTGTCAGATCCAACAGTATGGGTTCATTACTTCCCCCACACTTAAGGATCACCTAGGCTAGCAGTTTAAGCATAACTGGATGAATTGCAAGCAGCTCAACCGTAATCAATGCAAGAAGCAACCACAAACGACCAATTTAATCACCCGGGCAACACACACAATAGCCATAGCCAATCATACACAAGGCATTCCTCACCCTATTCTAATTCAAGCATGACAGGCAAACACAGTTCTCGGTCCTACAATCTATAGTTCGATTTTCCAGAAAAAGAGTAGGAAACAAGAAACACACCTGGAAACTCAAGTAGAACTGTAGCTAGGACGCTAAAACGGGTGAGGGACGCGAAAAAGGGTAAAAAAACGACCCGGGGGGCTCGCCGGAAAGTTGGCCGGACGTCGCCGGAAAACCCGTCGGAAGGTCGCCGGAAAGTGGCCGGAAGTGGCCGGAAAACCCGCCGGAATGTCACCGGAAAGTGGCCGTAGGGGGCGGCGGCAGCGGTCGGAGGCTGGCCGGCGGCGACCAAGGGAGGAGAGAGGGCAGAGGTTTTTGAGAGGAGGAGAGGGGAAATTTGGAAAAAATGAGGGTAGAGAGAGAAAACTGACCGGGGGTTTGTTTAAATAGCAAAAATCCCCGGTCGGGTATTTTGAGTCCACGACCGGGTTTTTTGTAAAACGCCGTGTTGCATGCTCATGGAAATCCTCGACCTTGGGCCAAAAATACCCGGTCGGGTATTTTGGGCAAGGTCGGGGGTCTCAAAACGCTGCGTTACAATCCTGGAAATCCCCGGCCTTGAGCCAAAAATACCCGGTCGGGGATTTTTGGACCAAGGTCGGGGATTTGCCCTTTTGCGCCCCGGAAGGCAGAGGCGGCCCCGGTCACGAGCCAAAAATACCCAAAAATACCCATGCGCTTCTTTACCGTCTTTTAGTTGGACGCCCATGGCGGAACTAAGGGTCCGCGAAGTCCACTGCTAACTCCGCACGTTCGACCTTGCCTCCCAAGTAGAGCTTGAGATGATGGCCATTCACTTTAAATGGTGCAGTCTGCGGGTTGGCAATCTCAATCGTGCCATACGGGAACACCTGTGTGACCGTGTACGGCCCAGACCACCGGGAACGGAGTTTTCCGGGAAAGAGCTTCAGGCGAGAGTTATAAAGGAGAACTCGATCACCAACCTGGAACTCTTTCGGACCTCGCAACCGTGCATCGTGCAGGCGCTTAGTGCGCTCCTTGTATAGCTTGGTGTTCTCATAGGCGTGATAACGCCACTCCTCCAGCTCCAGCATCTGCATTTTGCGCTCAACACCTGCAACACTAATATCCAAGTTGAGCAGCTTAAGGGCCCAAAAGGCCTTGTGCTCTAGCTCCACGGGAAAATGGCATGCATTTTCATAGACAAGCCGGTACGGTGAAGTACCAATGAGCGTCTTGTAGGCAGTGCGGTATGCCCATAGAGCATCATCGAGCTTGGTGGACCAATCCTTGCGGGATTGATCCACCGTCTTCTCCAGGATACGCTTGAGCTCCCGGTTCGTCAGCTCGGCCTGGCCACTTGTTTGAGGGTGGTAGGCCACGGACACCTTATGAATAACACCATAGCGAGACAGTAACTTATCGAACTGGCCCTGGAAATGGGTGCCTCGATCTCTTATGATGGCTCTAGGTGTCCCGAACCGGGAGAATAGCTGCTTCAGAAAACCAAAAACACGTCTAGCATCATTAGTGGGCAAAGCTTGCGCCTCAGCCCACCTAGAGACGTAGTCAACAGCAACAAGGATATAGGTATTACCAAAAGATGGAGGGAAGGGGCCCATGAAGTCGGGGCCCATGAAGTCGATACCCCAGACATCAAAAATTTTACAAGTTATAAACACATTCTGGGGCATCTCATCACGGGTAGAGATGTTACCTGACCTCTGGCATCGGTCGCACCTGCGTGCGAAGGTGTCTGCGTCCTTGAAGAGCGTGGGCCAGTAGAAGCCCAACTGTAGCACCTTCCTCGCTGTGCGGTTTCCTCCGTTGTGACCGCCAGTAGGTCCTTCATGACAGTGAGATAGAATGCCCTTCATCTCACTCTCCATAACACAACAACGGATTATCCCGTCGGCTCCGATCCTGAAGAGATGAGGGTCATCCTAGAAGTAGTGCTTCAGATCGGAGAAAAATTTTCTCTTGGCGTGGGTTGTCATCCCCTTGGGCAGCTGCTGGCCCACCAGATAGTTCGCAAAATCGGAGTACCAAGGGGTGACACTCTCCACTAGGCACATCATCATCAGTCTCTCATCTAGGAAAGAGTCGTTGATCTCCTCCTCGAGGTTGTCCGTAGGGGGTGCGTCCAACCGGGAGAGGTGATCGGCTGCAACATTCTCCGCTCCCTTCTTGTCCCGAATCTCAATGTCAAACTCCTGCAATAGTAAGATCCATCGTATGAGCCTAGACTTGGCATCGGCCTTGCTCATCAGGTATCGAATCGCGGAGTGATCTGTATACACGGTCACATGGAACAAGACTAGATAAGGAAGAAATTTATCGAAGGCAAACACCACCGCGAGCAGCTCCTTCTTCGTGGTGGTGTAGTTCTCATGGGCATCATTCAGGGTCTTCGAGGCGTAGTAGATAGGTCGGAAGTGCTGATCTCGCCTCTGCCCCAATACAGCTCCAACAGCAAAGTCACTGGCATCGCACATCAGCTCAAATGGCAGGGACCAGTCAGGAACAACCATGATAGGAGCTTGAGTGAGCTTCTCCTTCAAGGTCGTGAATGCCGCTGTGCATGCATCAGTGAACTGGAAGGGGGTATCCTTCTCGAGAAGCTTAGTCAAGGGCAGGGCAATCTTCGAAAAATCCTTGATGAAACGCCTGTAGAACCCTGCATGACCTAAAAAACTCCGGATCCCCTTAACAGATGTGGAGGAGTCAACTTGCTGATAGTCTCGATCTTTGCTCTGTCCACCTCAATCCCCATCTTGGAGATCTTATGCCCCAGAACTATGCCTTCACGAACCATGAAGTGGCACTTCTCCCAACTCAGTGCCAGGTTCGTTTCTTCACACCGTTTAAGGACGAGTTCCAGGTTATGGAGACAGTGAGAGAATGAGTCTCCGTAAACCGAAAAGTCGTCCATTAACACCTCCATAATCTCGCCGACCAGACGGTCAAAGATGGCGAGCATGCATCGCTGAAAAGTGGCGGGGGCGTTACATAGCCCGAACGGGATCCTCCGGTAGGCAAATGTGCCGAAGGGAAAGGTGAAAGTGGTCTTCGCCTGGTCCTTCGGTGCAATGGGGATCTGGAAGTACCCGGACATCGCATCCAGGAAACAGTAGAACTCATGCCCCGCCAGTCTCTCCAGCATCTGGTCAATGAACGGCAGCGGGAAGTGGTCCTTCCGAGTGGCGTCGTTGAGACGCCGATAATCAATGCAGACACGGTACCTAGTCATCGTGCGCATTGGGATGAGCTCATTCTTCTCGTTAGGCACCACGGTCATCCCACCCTTTTTGGGTACCACCTGGGTGGGACTGACCCACTCGCTGTCGGAAATGGCGAAGATGATCCCCGCGTCCAGCAGCTTCACGATCTCTGCCCGAACCACAGCCTCCAGGTTTGGTGTCAGTCTTCTCTGCGGCTATCTCACTGGCCGCATCTCATCCTCCATCAGTATCCGGTGGGAGCAGAAGGAGGGGCTGATCCCCTGGATATCTGTGACCTTCCACGCTAGAGCACGCTCGTGCCGCTTCAGCAAGGCCACAAGTCTGTCCTTCTGCTCGGGTGTGAGGGTCGAGCTGATGATGACTGGAAGCTTATTCCCCTCCCGGAGAAATGCATACTCCAAGTGAGGAGGGAGAAGCTTAAGCTCCAGCTCTGGTG